TGTTTTCACCGGTGTTGGTGTTGATGAAGATTTCTTAGACAAAATATAAGTTAAATATAAAATGCAAATTCAAATAAATATAAAATGACTACTAATTATATGCAACAAAAACACTTTTATTAGTAGTTTTATAAATGATGATCAGTGCCAATATTGTCAATAGTAAATTACCATTTATAATATTAAATAAATTACATTCAATAATTTAACTGTCTAATAGTGAGCACAATATATCAATAAAACTAATTTAAAGTTAATTAAAAATTGTAAAATACATTAATTACATAATAATAACAAATTTTATTTAGATTATATCATGAACTAAAAATATTAAAATGCTATTTAACAAACATTAACGTTGAAAATATATTAACATTTTTATTATGTAATGTATTTTTGTGTCTAAAAAACCTTTGAATCACTCTTTTAACGTTTCGTTAATTTTTGAATCACAGGTGCACTCCTTCGGGTCAATTAATGGCAATATTATTATTATTATAAAATATATGATGAAAATATTTAAACAATTTGTTTGTTTGTTTGATAACAGACATTATATAAATTGATATTATACTGTAATATAGCAATACTGTATAATACATAATAAATATACTGCTGTGTAATAAACATAATATTAACTTGAAGTAAGAATGCAATTATTGTTTATATTTTATGTTTAAATCAAAATAACTTAAATTAATTTAAAATTATAACTTACAAACAAATAAATTAAACATAATATTTATAAACTGTATCTAATAGTTTATCTTATATTTTTACTTGTATCATAAATAAATGCATAATAATTTTTATAATTATAAAAAATGTAATAATTTATATTATAATAAACATTCAAAACAAATTAAAAATTTTAATTTTAAATATTTATTATATATACATATAATCTATTCAAACCACAATCATATACAAAGTTCACCAGACATACAGTTAGGTTATACAATACAATACATACTATATTTAGCATACAATGAACTCTTGAGTGAAATTTTTGACATAAACTTTGAATTTTAATATCTATTGAACAGTCTTTTGCCTATCAATGACTCATAACGAGGACACTGGCGTATGCCGTCTCTCTCTCTCTCTCTCTCTCTCTCTCTCTCTCTCTCTATCCGACACACCAATAGTGATAATAAAGAGATAAACTCAAAACTTTCAAATTTATCCGATTGTGACCAAAGAATGAGACATTTTTTGATGTATGAATTTAACTCCCGGTGTGTTTTGTATGTGTATTCCTCTCATATTTCTTTTATGTGATATAACAAACATTTTCCTCTCTTTTTATAAGATAAACAATTTTTATATTATGACATTATTTAATGTCATAATAATTCAGTACTTGTATTTAATGTAAATTTTAATAAAAAACTGAAAGATTTAGTACAAAAATAGGAAATTACTCATTGTGTGGTATTATGTGATAGTAAACATAAAAATTATGTAATAATAAAAATGTGGTTAACATCAATGTAATATAAAATTTATTTTTATTTTTTTAGCATAAGGACTGGTTTCTATATTCTATAGAAAGTAAAATATTACAATAAAAGATTATTTTATATATAATAACGTAAATTGCTTTAACTTCATGTTATGTAATATATTTAATATTAAGTGATCTACCAATATATTGTAAAGTTACACAGATTACAAGTAATAATAATTTGTTTTAATCTAATGATTTATATAATGATTTTAATTACACAGATAAATATAAATTATTAAACATTTCATAGTAGATATATATATATCAAAATAAATAAAAATAAATTTAAATTCTTGATTTTATTATTTAATTTGTTAAATATTTGTTACTCATTTAAATTTTATATTATAACTTAGCTAAGTTTTTCTGTTTTGTATATTTCTTTATAACAATTACATAAAAATATCTATATAAACTAATACCTATAAAAATTACCTATTATACAGTATATTATGAATAGTATATTTCATACAACATTAATATTATAATTTTTTTTGGATATTTTTTTATTAAAGTTAAATTATTAAATCATTCAAACAATACAACAGGTGTTTCGTAAGAGAGAGAGAGAGAGAGAGAGAGAGAGAGAGAGAGAGAGAGATAGAGAGCCAAATGGTAGTATTGGTACGTTTGCAGACATAATACAATATATAGATTTATAAATATTGGTTATAACAGTAGTGACCAAATTTTTAAGACCATACTCTCTCTCTCTCTCTTTCTTTCTTTCTTTCTTTCTTTCTTTCTCTTCTCTCTTATTTTCTCATTCATTCATTCATTGACTGACTGACTCAACTACCATAAGGTGCTTTGAGTTGTTTGAGTAAACTGACCAAAAAACACCTATTGTGACAAAACATTGCAAACACGGACTGAAAGTGAGTGAATTGAGAGAAAAATCTTTACATATTTTTACTTTTCATTTGATTATTGTATTCAAACAACCGATACAACTGTAAAATTGTCTCATTTTTTCTGAAAAATAGTTTTGCAAACATAGCATACGGGCTCTAACTATAAATAATATGCACTTCTTTCGCTTTTAAAACCATTTTTATGGACACAATTGCCACTAATCCTCTGCCACTATAAATACTATAATATACTATATATTGGGACTTCACTATCAATATTCGGGTCATTACAATAGGTTTAATACATTAGCAATAAAATAGAAATTGAATTCTTATAAAGAAAAAAATATGCTTTTAAAATGCATACAATTTATTAAAAATAAGTTTATATTTTACTAAAAAAATATTTATTTTTATTTTTTTTCAATATATCAGCAAAATACAATTTGAAAAGATTTTGAAAACATTATGTATAGTACTGTATTATTCAAAATATTATATTGTATAATACGGCTATATTACAATATTGCTAAAAACTTTCAATTTCATTTATTTATATAATACAGTACTACAGTATATCAATAAATTCAAATAAAACTATAATTTACTATTTTGTTATCATTAGGATATATTGTGTAACAATAGATTTGTCATATGGATTGTAAGTTGCAATTATTGTATAATACTGGATATTACAATACTATATAACTTAAATTATATATACCTATATTACTGCAAAAAAATATCATTTGCAATGATTTATTATTATTAATAATTTTTGTATAATACAATATATTGTACTGAATTTCTAGGCTATTATGTAAATATCATTAATTTCTTACGACTCATTGCATGTAAATTATTGTAATTTTAATATTTATATATACTGTACATATAAATTAAATTACAGGCCTTTAAATCATAATACTATTTATACAAAAACATAAAACACGTTTTAATAGTTACTTTAATAATAAAAATTTTATTACAAATTTGTTACAAAATGTTTTTTAGAAATCATAGAAAAACTTTCACTGAAATCGCCGATCATTTCTATCACTAATTTTGTTGGTCTGCATCGGTGTTTGAATTTTCCAACCAATTGTCTGCAGCCGACTGATCATAAGGTGATCCACTAGTGGTCAGCTGATGTCCATAAATTTCCCGGCGATTGGGAACCGGACGCGGTTGAGGTAACCGTTGAGAGTAAGGATTGGGAGTAGGAATCCAATTGCCAGACATGCCTTGATATGGAGAAATCCATGGCAAGCGAACAAATGGTGATCGGATTGGATACTGAGTCTCAAACAATTGTTGACCAGATTCTTGAACTACTTCAGCAATTGAAGGATCTCTCTTTTGATGAAAAATTGATTGCATTTGATTGTTATTTGAACCCATAGATGAAGTTTTAGCATAAGTATGGAAAGCTGTGGACTCATGAGGAGAAAAGACTGATGAAGTCTTTTCAAAATTTTGACCAAATCTTGATTGCATTTCTTGATTTTCATTTGATCTGAATTTCTTTTCAAAATTCTTGTTGCAATCAAAGTCTTCATCGAGTAATCCCAACGATTCATCTGAATCTTCTGATTCCTCTGAATAATCATTATCTTCCGGTTCTACCAAATGAACAAATCTGTGTTCATCGTGAAGATCAGTATTTGCCTCTTGTTCTGACTCATCAACAACAAGGATGTCTTTGAATGGTTTGTCTTGACTTTTGTTTTGGATAACCGAATCTCCTTCTACTGCTAGTTGTCGAGCATTTCGATTCTTGTAGCGATAGTATATACCGGTAATCATCAGCACAAGTATTACTACAGTCATTGGCAAACTAAGGTATGGCACCAATTGTTCTTTCAGTGACGACAACGTTTGCATCGGCAAAGACATGACTTCAACTATCTTGTGATCACTTCTTTGTTTGTCTTAACTTAAAAACCTAATAAATTTTGAATATTAAAATAATGGATGATTTATTGAAACAATTTTAACTAATTTCTAACGATTTTTTTTATAAATCTGCTTTTAAATGTCTATAAAATAAATTATAAATTGTTAATAATATGCAAATTATTATTCAATAAAATTATTATATTCTTTGATTCATTAATACTGTATATTGATATTTAAAACGCGTGATAACAAATACAATCGGTTTGTTTGGTGATTATGTAATTTTTTAATAGCTTTTATACATTATATCATTTAATATTTTTTATAAGTTTATATTTCTATAAGAGTTAATTAGTGATCCATTACTTATTTAAATCAATAAATTAAATCTATTAATAATAATAATTATTAGATTATCAATAGTCTAGTAATGTTGCATTAAAATAGATAATTATTATTTATTATAATTTTATTGATAAATTGTGAGAAATAAATATATAATTACTTTTATATAAAAATTATTATTAAATAAAATTCAATGATATTAAGTACACTTCTGGTAATAGCCGAGAGTTAATTTGCAATTCATGGCATTTATGGCCATCTATTGGTCAACACTTTGATATTGTTTTGGTTAATCATAAAGTTTATAGTATTAATCAAATTTGATTAATTGATTGTATTTTAAGTTTATTTTCAAACAACAAACTGCAAACTTTGACCGCAAACTAACTAACTGTCCGATTGTCTGAATTATGTTTTCAAGTGTTCATCAAAATGATTGCCGAAAATAAAAACATGAAATCATTTTTTCGTTTATTAAATGACTAATGATTTGACAGATATTTGTCCAAAAAGTGAAAATCTTATAATTAGTCATCAATTTGATGACCCAATTGGTGTCAAACAGCAGAAGTGGTCACTCGAGAGTCGATTTCATAATTAGCGCCAAAACTTAAATATTTAATGACTTATTGATTGGTAACCATAGAGACCACACAATAATGTCCACTAATGACGTGACCAGACATGTGGTGACTGTTGTGTCCATCGATTGGTACAACAAATTGGCGGTCAATAGTGTGGACACTCAGACTATTGGTGTGTTGGCCACTAAATGACGGCCATAGTATCGGCCCGAGAGAGGGCAAAATCGGCCAAAACGTTGATCTGTTTGTTGCAATCATTGATTGGCCGCCGAACTCGTATTGATTTACGTAACGACAATCACCTGATGGGAGTCATCGACGGCGTCGACTCATTCATGAACACCGAACTGTCCGACTGCACGATTCACGACATGGATGGCCAACTCGTCCAGTCGTTTGATTATTACTTTGCCAAAGGATCGCGTATACGGATGGTTCACATTCCCGACGACATCGATATGGTTGCGGCCATTGAGTGCCAATTAGAGGTTATTCAGAGCCGTCGTAAAGCTGTTCAACAAAATATGCAACGAAGGACTCAGTCGACAATCGACAAGAAGTCCATCGATGAGGACTAGACTGACCACTAGTTTTATTATATATATATAAACGAAAAATTGTGATATATTTTTAACCACTTTTTATGGTTTTTTAAAACGAAATATATTTTTAATTTAGTTTTTAAATAAATAATGATTTTTTAGTGACCAGAAAGTGATTTCTCATGACTTATGCATTGCCGACACAGACTTTTTGGTGATAGGATAGTGAGGCACCTCTTAATCGGCCAACAAAGTGATGGCTAGTTGTGACTCCCAATTGAAATGGTTTTACTGTACCTTAAATATAATGTGATAATTGTTTTATCATTAGTGTAGTCATACGTATAGTTGAAAACATGCAAAATATTGTATATATACTTATCAACGGAGAACTTGTTGTATTAAATCTGTCGATATTAAGAGCTGATCCACAAAATCTGTCGAAACTTTTGATAGCAATTTGTTTGTTTACCTCACTATTAGTAAAATCCTTCAAACTTTTGGCATTTTCAATGGTTATGTAGTTTTGCTGACAAACTATTGTTTTAACAAAAAATGTTACAAAAAATATCCTTAAAAATGATTACAATATGATAATTGTAATTATTATTATATTACAGTCTCCACGTTGGCCACCAAAGAGTCCATTGGGTCCCATATCAAAGTGATTAGCCCGCCATTCAATAGCACATCTTTGCCATTCAATTCTAATACAAATATTATACTCAAGATCACCAATAAGACATTCATGTGATCTGTCAATGAACTCATGTTGTTGAAGACAATTACCACTACCGGTATTGTTGACTGAATTGAATGTATTGATCACTTTATTTGAACGACAACGGGTTGGCAATTGACGTCGTCGGACACAATCAAAGTTGAATGTCTTGATTACTCCATCGATACCCGTATAGTATTGCAGACAACCGGATGGCGCTTATTGTGTAGATATATATATATATAAGGAATTGGATTTGTGTTATAAGTTTGTCCATACCTTTGAGCAATAGATCGCATTGAATGAACTGGACTTCAATAATCCAATACCTATTCATAGGATGACTTCCTGTTGCTATTTTAAGTTTTAACTCTTGAATACCTTTGGCCTCTAAATAAACTTATACCGGTATATAAAAAATAGTAGTTATTAAAAAATTTAAAATCTCATTACCGGTAATACATACTGTGCTGACCGGTTAGGTTTCCACAAAGGATCGGTATTTTATATGAATGCGGTATAGTTAGGGAGTCAACCGTACAGAGTTTGTCTTTGGGATTGGATATAAGGAATTGGACGAAATGAAGTCTCACCTGACAGGCATCGATCGGTGTCTTTATGGTGGTATCGCAGAGCATCTCACCATTGAAAGCGTGCGGAAAGTTAGGGTTTAATAGATGTGTCCGATTTCGGAACATAATATCACCACAATTTGCTTTAACTATTATAGAGATGTTTGAATTGTATGTCAATAATTGGTTTGACATTTCATTTATAAGTCATGACACTCACAGAAACAACAAACACCGAAACCACGCGCACAAAATCCACGGCTGATTCCATTAAATAGTAGACATTCTGTACGCGCATAACACGTGCCCATTAGGCCGTCCACTGTCATACAGCCCTCATTGGGAAACTCAATCATTTCAAATATTGGAAAATATACTAAATAATTGATAAAAATTGCAATTTAATTAACATTAAAATTATTTTTATATAATATTTTGTAACATCAAGTTTACAAACTTCTTGCGCTTCTATTTGTTAAATGATATTTATTTTCGTTCAATGATTTAGTGGTCATATTTTGTCCATTTGTTTTACTTAGTAAAACAGTCAAAACTATTGACATAAAAATCATAATTTTTAATTTTGCGGATTTTATTATCAATTGGTGTATAAAAATAATAGTAAAATTTTATTTATTAACTCGTTTTAAATAATAACTATTTTAAAATTAATAACACTTTTAACACAAAAATTATTTATTAAATATGCTAACATAAATGTCACCAAAATTGTGCGAAAACTGACAAAAATAAAACTTTATTATAAAATTTATATATAATGAAGACCTCAAAAAAGTAATTTAATATTAAATTTTAGTACTTTAGTCGATCAATAAACATAAATCGTAAACAAAAATTAGTTTTTAATAAATAAATTTTTATTGGTTGCAAAAATTATTCATTTTTATTTTAAATAGCTATACAATAGAATACAGGAAATATTTTATTATTAATAGCAATAAATTATTACAATATTATCATTATTTTTCAAAAATTAATTATGTACTTAAAAATTATATTTAATAGACATTTACTTACACTGTAAACGATTTGTTTGTATTTTGGATTTAACTAAATAATAGGATTAGTTAATACTGTAAATATAATAGAAAGTCATTGAAAATGTTGGCAAATAAGTTAATAATAGAGAAGTCGAGATGTTTAATATCATCCTGTTTTGTATGCCATACACTGGGAAAGGGCTGAGATATTAGATGTAGTACTGGAACTCCCTTTAATAGGAACGGTCGGTGATCATCATCGATAACATCCAATGATAAACCATTTGATGGGAATAATTGGTTTTTATTGTTGTTATATTTCTTTTCTGGTAATTTCATAGAGTAAAGGCATGAAAAAAGTATTATTACTTAACTCATAAAAAACAACACAACAATACATCTCATGACTGGATAATATTCAACAAAAAACATATTCCGTACTATTATTAATAATAATGGCAAACCTCAAGACATTTCATTATAAAAAATATAATAAAAAACAGTTTTATATGGATTGTTATGTTTTCGTTTATATCTATATTATCTATTTTATGATATTTTTGATATTTTCAATGAAAACATTATTTATCATTTTTAAAAAAACATATTTAGTATAAGCTTTAAATGAGTTTATATTCATTAATAGTTATTAATATTTTATAACCAATACTATTATTCAAATTTTAATATAATTTATAAAAAATATATACCAATTGACATGAGAGTTGCATAAAATCCTTTTGAATTAAAGAAGTAATTACGAAAAGCCATATTTTTAGCTCCAATTAGGTCCAGAAGAATCATGATATCGATGCCATTCAAGTCATTGTTCATTTTGGGACACTTTGATCGTGTATTTTGCCATTTGTTGGCCAAATGTCGGGATCCGTACAGCGAATCCATAGCTAATAGTAAGAGAATACAATAAAAATATTTTTATGTTTAAAAATTAACAAAAATGTATTACTTTTGAATAACAATATTATCATAATTCTAGTTATAAGTTAAAATTATTACTGTATAATATGTTATTTTACTCTTTATATTTAATTTTAAATATACAATAAAAAATTTATATTATAATAAATCTATACTACTATATAATTTGTTCAATGTTTGTATCAACAATTAAATTTAATGTGTCGCGCGATTATTAATAATTTTAATTTATTAAATAAAAAATTAATAAATAAAATGTACTTTTTATAATACACTGTATATTATATAGCGCGTGAAAGCATTGTTTAGTTAAGAGATAGATTGAGAGAGAAAGAGAGAGAGAGAGAGAGTATTGTTGCACGTGTTAACTATTGATACACATTTTATTACACGGATCTAACTAGTATCTAAATAAGTAAAGAATTAGTTTATATTGTATGATCTTAATAAAAAACAATTGAATTTTGATATTAAAACTATGGATAAATTAATGTTATTATATATAAGAGTAATAACATACCCGTCCAATCATTAAAGCTTTCCTCTCCATCAAAGAAAATGAATTCAATCGTCAATTCCTTATTCTATAAATTATTGAATAGAAAATTAAATGACTAAAAGTATTTGAAAGTTTCAAATAACTTATTAAACATATCATACGAGTGATCGGTGAGAATCAAATTGTTTGTGAAGTTTTCGCACTAAATGAATGATTAGAGCGCAGGGAACGGCAGAATCGGTTGCACCGATGAATGGAAAAGACGGAAAATATTTAGAGTCGTAATGACAGGCAATTACCCGACGTTTGCATATTTTATCATTATTTGTGGCAATTATATTAGCAAATGATTTCCTTCCACGTGGTGTTATGTCTACAAACATATCCAAACTAACTGTCCATCCGAGCTCTTTCATACTTTTTATTATATACTACAAGTCAGAGTACATAAAATAAAAAAATATAATTAATTGTAAAATTTATTTCTTAAACTTATTTCATTTACTTCTCTGACTTTAGAATTACCAGAAGTTCCCGAAACTCGAGGAATTGCAATATTTGTGAGCGTATTATTAAAATCAATATTTATTATATTTCTTAAACTATTGCTGTCATTTGTCTAAGTTTTAATGAATTTTATAAATAAAATGCAAATATTTAATTGCATTCAAATTAATGTTTAACTTATAAATATTTTAATAAAATTTCAAATCTATTTTCCATATATGTTTGCATATTAGTACTAAATATGTTACTGTAGTATTGTAAACATAACAATATATTTTTTCAAAATAATAAATCATCTTACAGTATGAACTTAACATATTTAGTATTATCGATAATTTGTAAACATATATGGAAAATGGATTTGAAATTTGATTTTAATTTATTATTTATTCATATAATTATCATATCATATATTTATCAAAATTATTATAAAAATGCCATATTATTAATACAAATAATAATTATTATAATAATAAATTACATGAATACATATGATATTTTATTAATTATAATGCTATTAGTAATCATTGAAGCTTACATAACTTTAAATTATAAATTATACATTTGTCTACTAAATATATCGAAATACTTAATAATTAGCAAAACATGATATTAGTATATTTGATAATATTATATTATTTAAACTGTATATATTTATAATGCATGACTAAAATAAATTTTGGTTTATATTTATATAAACTTTGTACGAATATATAAAAATAATATAAACTAATTCTACTACTAATATAATAAATAAATAAAATAAACTAATTTGTAATTTATAACTAGATTTTCATTACTCTAAATTTTTTAAAAACATTAATTAATTAAAACGAGGGAGGGAATTTGCCCGAACCCTACTTATGTGTATCACAATGTACTATACAGTATAACATACAATATGTTAGTGATTTATAATTTATATATATAATATATAATTAATAATAATATATAATTTATATGACAATAATAAATATGTAAGCAATAAATTATGACATATGTAGTGTACATATATATATTAAATGTGTACAGGACAGGACAGGACAGGACAGGACAGGACAGGACAGGACAGGACAGGACAGGACAGGACAGGACAGGACAGGACAGGACAGGACAGGACAGGACAGGACAGGACAGGACAGGACAGGACAGGACAGGACAGGACAGGACAGGACAGGACAGGACAGGACAGGACAGGACAGGACAGGACAGGACAGGACAGGACAGGACAGGACAGGACAGGACAGGACAGGACAGGACAGGACAGGACAGGACAGGACAGGACAGGACAGGACAGGACAGGACAGGACAGGACAGGACAGGACAGGACAGGACAGGACAGGACAGGACAGGACAGGACAGGACAGGACAGGACAGGACAGGACAGGATGAAATTTTCAGTTTAATATACACACTATTATGTATAGATATTTGTGTATATTTAAAGTATATATTAATATACTATAAATATATTAATATAATATTACAGTCAAATTGATTCTATTAATATAAAATTAAATCAAATAATAAATTTTATAATATGAAATCTATTTAAGTTTTATTCTAATAATATTATCAAACATTTATTATAATAACGTAAATGTCATAAAAACTAAAAAAATATGTCACTTCTATTATTTATATTTTATTTTGAGTTATAATTTTATACTAAATTCAATGGTTAATACTTATTATATTTAGAAATAATGAATTACATCTCAATAAATCTTTTAATAAATTATTAATTGTTATATTAATTTGAAGATATACAGTACTTAGCAATTTATTTATATATGTAATATACAGTATATATTAAATAATTTATATACATGTATAAAAATAATACACTGACATTACAAACATTATGTCAAATTAAGTGCAGTACTGTATTTGTATTTACTCTAAACACTTTTATGATATTAATAATACTATATTAAAAATATATTATTTGACCCAAAATATTATTACAAATGTGTTTTATGGTTTTAATAAGTTAGTAAATCCAAAATTAATTACTATATTATTATAGTATATCTAAAGTTTGTCTGTAAATTATATTATGATTTAATACGAGTTATTTATATCGTATTAATCAAATATATTACATATAATTAGTACACATTACGTAAATTAAACATTAAAATAGTATATATTTGATATATAAACTCAAATAATAATAAAATTTAGCAAAACTTAGTAATTTTCTTTTAAAAATATTTAATTATTAAGAAATAAAATAAAAATTAATATCTTAATACATACTGCATTAACAAAATGTTGAAATTTAAGTAAATAGATAATGATAATTAAAGATACCACAAATGTTAATTTTAAACGTAGCATGGTAAATTTTGAATTTAATTTTAATAAAAGGTATATATTGATATTAACATATATAGTTTATAATATTAATATCTAATAAAAAAATTGAAGTAGTTGAATTTTCTTTATTAAAACTAACAAATTTATTAAATGGTTATTGAAATTAAGTTAAAAATCTTGAATTTTAAACAAAATTTTTAAAAATATATTTTATAAAGTACTGAGTCATTTACAAATAAAATTAATTTATCTATACATTATATGGCTATTTTGAATTTTAAAATGACTTTTTAATTTATTATATGATGTGTAACTACTGAATAGTTTACATTATTTTATTGTTTTTTAGATTATTAAATAATATTTTTAAAAGTTATGTGAAAATAATTATTTTTATGAAGTATACTTGAATCTAAAATGATAAATTAATACACAAAATATTAAATGTTAAGATAAAAATTTAATTTACACATAAAATTACTTTCAAAATGTTATTAACAAAAATATGTTATAATGTAATGTGTGAATACAATGTTATTAATGTATAATATTAAATTCATTATATATCTACTTATTATTTATACTATTTATTTCTAACTAATTCATTAATATAAAATAATTACTTTTGTTAATTAATTTATGTTATATATTTAATTTTTTTATTGTAATGATACATAATACGACATGAGAAATATAAACTATTATTTTATCTATAATATATTTACTATTCAATATAAAATATAAATTAAATGTTAACAATTTGCTGTATTATTGTTTAAAAAAATATATTTAAGGTAATTCTTAAATCATTGTTAATATTATTTTAATTATATTTATATTTTTAGTATATTAAATAATAACAATATAATATTTTTAATGTATTACTAATTACTATTTGTTAAAAATTATTAACATGAATTCAATTACTTTTACTGGTACTACACATATGTGATGTCATTAGGATTTGTTACAAAATAATTTAATTATAATTTAGTATAAATGATTAGTTGTTTTATACTGAATAATGTAAAAAAAAAATATTTTTTTCGCAATATTGTATCCGAGACAATAAGATTTTGAAACAAAATAATGGAAAAATTTTGTTAAAATTGTGAAAACGATAACACAAATACCTTTTCACAACCGAATATTCAATAAGTTATTTCATATGTTTTGCACAAAAAAAAAGATTTCTAAGAAATAAAAATAAATAACTCGAGAGTTACGACAAATGTATTACATTTTTTACAAAAGCCAACAAAATATGTTTCATTTAATGGTTTTGTCTTATATTTGCCGAAATAGGCTATAGATATGTATTTATTTTTATATGAATTCATGATTACGCTCACAAATTTTGGTACAATAATAGACTTTTAAAAAAATATATACAAATATAAAATAATCGATAAATATTTATTAGTTTTACAGTATTTTTAAATAATTAAATAAATACTGCTATTTTTATATAAAAAATAGACTTATATTTGTTATAATAGAAATTGTTAGTTAATTTTAAGCAAATCTTTGTTTAAATTTGTTTAATCATTAAAGTTTTAAAATCTGTGTTTAAAATAGATTATCGATTTATTTATAATATATAAAATATACTGTATTTCTATGTAAATGATATGTATTTTGTTTGTCGTTTACACAAATCATTGGATACCATATAATAGACATCTGTTCAGTCGTATAAATATAAAACTGAAATATAAAATCCAAAGAAAATCATTTCATTTACCTTTTTATATAATATATAAGATTCCTATGAATTGATTGTAACCCTATATAAGGTTTTTGTATTTTTTAATATAAAGTATATGTATAAATACTATAATGGACTCAATCAATACTATACATAGTAAATAAACATAATATTTACTCAATTAAGATTACTGACAAAAGTCCTAAAATTTTAGTTTATAATTTACAAGTATAAGACATTATTATGCAAATTATAAATAATAATTAAATGCCAAATGAAAGTCTATTTATAATAATTATTATTATAATTATAATTTATAAGTTTATTGAAATTATTAGTTGAATATCGTATTAACATTTATTTTTATAACGTTTATTATTTATTATTTTTTTATTATTACAATAATAATAATCTTTATTTAGCTCTAATGCAATTTTATACATAAAAAGTTTACACATTATTACAGATTAGTGGTGTAATACAAGATCTTGTTTCGTATTGTTTTAATTAACAAAAAAACATTAATAATAGTAATAATTAATTAATAATTATTAATAATTTTACAAATATATATTTTAATGAATAACAATCATTGTTAATTAATAATTAATTAATAAATTAAATACAAACAATTTATTATAATTTTTTTTATTAATATTTACGTATTATTAATAATAAGACGAGAAAGATCTTGAAAAACGTGACAATACGTGACGCGATTGACTTTAAAACATAGAAGACGGGAAAAGACGGGATTTTGAGAAAAAGTTACACCACTATTACAGATAATAATTACCGTATTTCATTGCTTAATTCCCCGTATGAAATTCATAAAAATATGAAAAATAACATTTTCATATGGTAAAAAACTCGCATTTTTTACCACCCCTGGTAAATTAAACGAGGGTATGGGGAAAAGCAAAAATGGGGGAATGGGGAACTGTAATGTATATTTAAGAGTAATCTATTAAAAATGGTATATAACTATTACTGGTAATTAAATAGTTATGACAGTGTTTAACAATTAATGACATAATTGTATACTTTTGCAGTATTTTTACATAATATATTAGGTAAATATCAATACATAACATATTTCAAGGCTTTAGAACTATTTGAGACGTTTAAATACAAGGAGTGGTAAATTAAAATTTAAAGCTACAAAATATTTGTTCATATGGTTAAAAGCTCGCATTATTAACCATGACTTACATATCTAAAACGGGGAATTAAGCAACATTTAACGGTAATATATTTAATAAAATTACAATATTTTGTTTATTACGTATACGTATTTACAATGGCAATATATTATACAAATTTATACAACAATTAACATAACTTTTATCAAATAAATTTATTCTCTTAAAATGTTTTTCTAATTAATGTACTATTTCTTGATGTTTTATAAAAATCAAATAAATTGAACCATTTATAAGGTATAGAGTTATTAAAAGTTTTAATCATTTTAATTGTCTTTTTTATAGTGTAGTTAAATTAAAAATTTTTAATCTTAGTATAACTTATTTCTAAATTTCACATTTTATTACATATAATTTTGTTATATTCAATATTTTTTGAAGTTTATTTACAATTATAGTCTAATACTTTTAATACTATGCTTATAATTGTACAATATATATATATATTTGTATATATTGTATATATATATATATATATACAATATATCATAGGTATATTTATAGTATTATACAAGTATTATATATGGTATGTATAGTGTATTATGTATGAAAGTAATATAATTGGTAAACTGATTAAATACTAAATATTTCATATTTTTATTGTAAACGTAATCAATTTTAATAGTTGACTTAATATATCAAATACATTAAATTTGTAATTATTAATTATTACTCTATACTAAAATTCAATATTATATTTATAGTAAGCAAACATAATTAAAAGAAAAATATTAATTATAAATAGTAATTACAAAATTATGATTTGTTTGTAAGTTTGAATATAATTTTATTTGTTAATATATTAATTTATTTATACTCTGAAAACTTTATTTAGTTTAAAATTAATTTATATAAAATCCTTTAATCTAAATCATTTATATTTTATACTATATTTAAATATGCAAATTTATATTACAATTAATAAAATTAAAACTATAAAATCAAATGTTTATTAATTTGATTAGTTTAAAATAACAATTATTTAATTATTAAATTTTGATACATTTAAAGAGTTTATACAAATGATTTTAGATTAAATAATTTAGATAAAATAAAGTTTTTATTTAATATGATTACAACATTTTTAAATATTTTTAAATATTTTATATTATATTTTTAAAAGAAAATTAAGTACTTTATTATTTTTATATTAATTTATAAATTTTTAAACAAGTTTTGATTGTATAATTGTGTTGAAAATCAATTTTTTATTTTAAAAATTAGAATTTGAAATTCTTAGGTTATTAACAAATAAGTTAATTGTTTAAACATATAAATATATTTAAATATAAATCTAAACAATATTTATAATGAATTAAAAAAATTATTTAACATTACATGACAACCATTTATGAGATTTTTAAAAAATGTTAAGACCTAAGGGTTATAACAAATGATTTCACGACAGGATTTTCAATTCATGAACACGACTGAGTGTTTTATATTAATAAATTTAATATCATATATCACTTATAACATATTTCAAATTAAATTTACAACAAAAAATAATTCAATTTTTTAGAAAAAAAATTATTAATATTAGCACAAAATTATAGTCATTTAGATTAATTAAAAGTATTTGAATCAATATATATGATTCTAATATATAAAACCCAATTTATATAAACAAATTTATTAGACTCAAATTATTTCAATCAATTTTGAATAATATTTATAAAGATTTGATAAAATTTTAGTAAAATTGATATTTACATTGAGTTACATTACTATACATTACATTATATGTTACTTTAATTGCAATGATATAATCATAAGTACAAGATTTTGGTAAAATGGGTTTTTATGAATTTGAGTTTTGGTTATATTAATTGTTTTTTTAGTTGTTTTATGAATTTGAATATTTTTTCTTATTTTAAATTGATTTAAATTTACAATTGATTATCACTTGATATCATGTTTTTACTCATATACTAATGTCATGAATTATATGATATCTTCAGTATATATATAGCAATATACAGTATTGAAAAATTATATGTAGATTTAAGATATTGATTGTATTACTCAAAAATATTTATAAAGATAATAAAATACTTTCTTATAAAATATTTACATTGTGTTAAATTAAAATAATTAATTTTATAAAATTTAAAATTACATGTTAATAGTTTTTAATTAGCATGTTATATTATAATTATCAATTGTTCAATGAACCTTAATACATGTATTAATTTAATAAAATAAAATACAATACTTGTTTCTAAAAATATTCACATAGTAATCAACATATAAACATTTAATTACATTAAAATTATTCAATAGACTTTTAAATTATAATTTGATTAAACTAAACATTTTAAGCGACAGATAATTGAAAAGTTGAAAAATGCTCTAAAGTTTAATCAATAATGATATATATATATTATATACAGTATATTCACTGTTATACTATACTTATATTATTATATATTATAGATAGGGTTCGTGCAAATTCCCTCCCTCTTTTTATTATCCAAAAGTTCCCAATGTTTCCTGCTCCCTGGGAATTCCCAGGGAAACTATTATTTATTTTAGAAATATAAAATATATTTTCCGGTAAAATTGGAAGGATTTTATTAGGGAACTTCCCTCCCTGGGAAATTTGCCCGAACTCTAATTATAGATGATATAATTTAATGACAAAAATTATATATTAGTTTGTTGGATGAGTTCAATGCAAATGGTTTGATTGTTGACACTATTATTAGCAGTGATGGCAGTGTCGATGCCGTTACCGAAATTGTATTCCTGTTGTTGTGAATCACTGGTACTGATTGACGATCGGACACACATAACGCCAAACAATGGATTTCCGTACTTAACCTTTGATGCCTTCATAGCGTTGGATCTCTTTAATCGACTTTTATTACATTTACTGTTATTTGTATTATTGTTATTATATTTGTTAGACTTATTGGCCGTTTGGTTGTTGACTGTATTGGTGTTCGACTCGTTTACTGTCGAGACTTCGTCGGTATGTTTGTGAAAACAATTGAGAGTAAAACATATTTTTAATATATATTTTGCTCTTTCATTATAGTGTTTATTGAGCCAAAAGTAGATAAAAGGATTATAACAAACGGATGACATGGCTATCCAGTGACAGACCAGAAATATGTTGGAACTGTAGTCTCCAAATCCAAAGTCAGATCGGATGTGATGTATGTTTAACTGTCAATCAGTTTTCAAGACAATTAAATATATGTTATATAAAATTATATCAATATATTAATGTTTATCACTGTTTTTATAATTTTATCTGACTTTTGTAAGTTATGTTTTTGAAGTTTGTATTTATTTATTTTTAATAAATATTTATTTGTTAATAGCAAAACTTTATTTGTATAAAAAGCACGTTTGAAATATTGATTAAATTCAAAAATTGTAAACCTTTTATCCAAATTATTATTTACTGAATAGTAATATTTCTCTTTATTTGGTAAATATAAAAATATGATATTTATATATATTGTCCAATCAATGACATCAAATAAACTTAATGTTCAATGTTTGTCTATTATATTAAACTGTAGTTTCTTATAATTAATTGTGACATTAGTTTATACTATATAAAGGTTTATAGAATTTATTATTAATGATAACATTTGTAGTATTAATAAAAATATATACATTAAAGTATAAAAAATTATTTGATACTTACCGGTAACCAACAAATAGCAAACACAACGACAACTGTGATGAGCATCTTAATGGTTGTCCGTTTAGACTGATTTTGATCGCATCTCTGTTGTAGAGTCAGAGCTCCGATGCCAACCCTTTTCCATATATGAACACCAATTCTTGCGTAACAAATAGCTGTCACAACAAAATTACAACATTTATTCATATATTAAAATTATATATATATGATAAATAAACTAAAGTAGTATAATATAAAAGTATATACAATGATTTATTTTTTAATAATATTAATAAAAGAAATTTATCTGATTATATGACTTACTTATAATTATTAAAGGAATAGAGTATTGGGTTGAAAATGTAAGAAGAGTTATCCATTTTCTGAGTCGACTGTCCCATTCGGGTGGATATACTACTTGACAACGGAGTAGTGTCTTAAAAATGAAAATATCCTTTACTTGATTAAACCAGGCGTGTGGTAGAGACAGTATGCCAGCCAATAGCCAAATCATTAATATGTTAAGACTGGTGGGAACTGTAGTTGTATAGCGTTTTCTCAGCAAACCAACTAACACTTGATAGCGATCAATGGCTATGATAGTCATTGATATGGTCGACACATATACTGACATCGCCTGAATAAATGGACCCAATTTGCACAGTAATGTACCGAATGGCCAATTGTCTAATAATAGACGAGCTATTGATATCAACATATAAAAAATAAATTTATATACAATAAAATGTTAAATTTATTAGATAAAAATAAATTCAATGAGATTAAGTCGGCAAAAATGAGTGTAATTTTTATAATAAAATCAATTTTACGAACAAAAAATCTTTTCAAACGATTTATTCAATTAAACTTAAAGAAGACATAAATTTTGTCACTCCATTGATTTGATGGCTTAATTTTCATGGGTTTGTTGTATGTTTGCATTAAGAATAATATAATAAAAACAAAATAAACTAAAGTTTGCAGACAGCAGATTGATTCACACTTATAAATATATATATGGTATTAGACACCATTGTATTATTTCAATATATAAATATATTATATGTACTTATACAGTTAATGTGGTAAATTATATAATATAATATTTGTTGGTAATATATAATAATAAAATATTAAGATAATATTTCTGCAAAATAATAAGATTTATTTTTTATATTAAAACAATATATTGCATAATATAATTTATATATGGGTAAACTACTAATCAATTTAAATAAGATAATTCTAATGAAAATTTTAATATAATAAATAAAAATAAAATAAATTATACTTATTTTAAAATTAATATTTTATTTTAAGTATTATACTTTGTTTAAAACAGATACATATATTTTCATTAAATTTACAATTATTATTCTATATATTTTAATAGAAATAATTTTAATATACTGTATTTAATTTAAACAATATTATTAATTAAAAATACAGTATCACTATAAGTATAAAGTTTTTTATATTTTATATTATACATTACACATTTTGTACATACAATGAATAGCTATCGTATAAATTAATTTTGTTATCATAATTTCACTTATAAATATTTATTAAAATATATACTATAAAACACGATAAATTAGATTATAATTTATGATACAAATATAACAACAATTCATTAATTTATGTAAAAATTAAGATATAGCTGTTTCTAATAAAATGTAATATCTTTATCAAGAAAAATGTAGACAAAATATTTTATAATAATTAGTTATAAATATATCCAAAAACTTACACCAGTTTTTATAATTTTGATTAGTTAATCATTTTCGTATAATTTTTTAAATATTTTTCTTAAAAAAATATACTTCTTTTCTCAGTTTATAATTTAGTTATAAATACTGTAATATAAATATTTTTAGTATTATAAAAATTATTTCTTACATTTATTGCCAATATAAATGTTAGGATAAATGTTATATTTATATATAAAAAATAAATAAATTATATACTGTATATAATGCATTTAAAAAACTGCCCGTTTTATACAAAATAATACAATTGTGTGATTTAGTGCACAAATTAGATTTAGTTACTAAATTTTAATGATTTTTTTCAATTACAAAATAACATTAGGTTTTAATAATTAATTTGCAATTGATATTTACTATTTGACTACTAGATTATGTAGCAATCAGTTTATAGTTGAATTGTTCAAATACATTGTTTAAATTAATTATCTAATGCTTCAATGATTCATATTTACAAACAATTAATTTCTATTGTCTTTATGTCTATTCTTTTAAATCACATTAAATCGATATATTAATATAAAAATAAAATTATTGTATTGTTTTAATTGATTTTGTCTATTATTATGATTTATATTGTGTTTTCCAGAATATGATGTAGTGATTTATATATAGAAAATAAATTATTATAATAAAAATAATTGATTTTGATAAATGTTTTATTATCAATGGACTAAATATATATTTTCTTATTACATCTAAAATGCAGTTAGTTAAAAAACAGATTTTAATTAAATTATATATATATATATATACATATATATACATATATATACTGTATACAAATATTAATTTTTCAAAATTATAAATCAATTTATAATTTTAAATACAAGTGCTCTTATATTTGATATGTTTAGACACTTTATATACATAAAAGTTATATTTAATTGTATGCAATAACTGATGAGTTATTTTCGATAGTAATTAAATTTGTTGTTAAACATATAGCTAAAGAGTGACAAATAGAAAGTTTCTAATAAATTTCTCTGAGAAAGTAACTAAAAAATTTTCCTGAATAAATTTCTATAGAAATTTAACTTTAATGTTCTACTATGGGATCCCCATATTTACAGCTATTGTAACGTTATATAGTGTTAGATAATATTATACTATATATTATGGTTAAGTACATCACTATATAAAATGGGATACCTATATATAAAATTATTATAAGTTTTGTAAAATTTTATTCATCATTTTATTATATATATCATAGTTTAATATAATTAAGTAAATTATTTTTTTACTTTAATTAATAATTAAAATACTACTAATAATATTTAATTATTACTAGTAAAAACAATGTATTGTTACAATATAGCAAATATCTAGAGAAAAAATTAACAATGGGATCTTTCTAGAAATTTCTCTATTATTTTAAAAACTTCTCTTTTTGATAACACTATATATAGCATATTATTCATATATGCGATAAAATTTGTATTTTCAAATTAATTAAAATAATTGTGTTTATAAATAATAATTATATTAATTATTAAAAAATATTTATTAAGTATTTTACACTATATTTAATTATAATTTAATTGCAGATGTTTATAAAACTTATTATTTTAGTATATACTGTAAACATTTATTTTGTAATATTAATCCGAGATAATTAACTTTTAATAAAGTATTTTATTATTATTGTTATAGTTTTTACAATAAAAAATAATAGCTAAAAGCAGTAATCTATTATTAATAAAAATTATGCAAAAAATATAATAAATATCTATTAATAATAATAACATATCAGAAAACGTATAAAAAATTACTTAATGACTCATATATTATAGTTAAGTAATCAATTTTTAATTAATGCTTAAATACTAATTAATGAAAATTGTAAGATAAACAAAATTATATACAATAAATTTTATTTATACAGTAAATTAAAATGCATTACAAAATAGCAAAGTTATCTAAAAAATGATAATTTATTTAAATACCTGTTGTAAGTGGGATATTAAACAATGTTAACAACAGATCAGAGATGGTTAGGTTGAGTATCAATATATTTGTCGTACGAGATCTCAGGCGACGCTTAGATAAAATGACATAACAAACCAAAAGATTACCAAAAAGTGATACAAATATAATTAAAGAGTAAAATCCAATGACAGCTATGTTTTTGATGAGTCGTTTTTGTTGGTATTGTGTGTGATTTGCTGGACTTAACATTTCCATAAAGTCATTAAATTTATTAATATAACTTTCATTAATTTTAGCATACTCTATATCACTTGAATTATTTGAAATAGTTTGCAACCAAATCAAAAACAAATGTTGTCGGGTTAGAGATAACTTTGTTGTTATTGTTGTTGTTGTCGACATCAATAAAGTGTTATTGTCTATGGATTCACTCATAGAGTTGTTCAAACTATATGTCAAATTCATTGTTTAATTTAAATATATTTTAGTAAAATCTAAAAAAATTGTACACATCTGCTGTATAAACTTTTTTTTATATACAGTATATTGTTTGTTATATAAAATATAAATCATATACTCTAGTTATACATATATATATATATATATATATATAGATATATGAGACATGTATACCCAAATAACTGATTGACTCTAACATTAATACTATATTAAAGTCAAGTTCTGAGATAAAGACATTCCCGTTGAGAGTCAGAACTTCTTGTATGTGTTTAGTGAGTGAATACTGTATATAATCCCTGAGCTGAGGATGCGTTGTAAGACTCTATCAAAACATTTATATAAATATTCACTCTAACAATGTATTCATCATTTCTATACCGCATTTGATTTCAAATAATTGATTTTTGCTTATCTATTATTTAATAATTTAGATCAATTGTCTTATATAATCATCTAATTATATTTATAAGTTTGCTGCAGTATATTATACATAATTAACACTTAAAATATAAGTATTGAATTGAATAAAAAGTATTTATTATTTTTATACTAAAGTTGGTAATAAACCTAAGGCTGATTTTGATAAAAGTCTAGTAATAATATAAAATAACAATTAAATTAGCACTTAATAATTTGTATTATTCAATCAACAATTTATAATATAAATGTAAATTAAATTACTTAATTATCAAATGTTTTAAAACATGCAATAAATTTATTCAATAATTTTAATACTTTTATTTTTTTGATAATTTTTTTACTTAATTTAAATTTTAAGATCTGTGTTTTTCTAAATATATATATAAATACAAAACTATGTACATTGCTTAAAGCAATTTTAATTATCTATACTAAAATTATTTGTTTTTGTTCTATTTTAAATTATTTTTTAAAATTTAGAAAATCTATTTTTTATAATATATATATATATAGTATTATATAGTTATATAGTATTAATAAAACATCTATTATGTTTAATAAAACATAAAACATTTAATAAATATAATTTTATTTAGCAGGTTTACAATAAATCATAAATGTTAAATCTTTTAAAGTTATAACGTTAGTTTTAAACTTTACATTAAAATAATTGTTTGTCTAATATTATTTAATCTAATTATATGATAAAAAATATTATACAATGTAGATATTATACATTGTACTCGATAAATATACTAATAAAGTGTATATTACGTTAAAATGACATAATTATAGAGTCTAATAATAAATCTATATTATTAATTTATGCAATATTTTAAATTTATATATTAAAAAACATATTTATTTAACATTCCTGTTAGAGCTATTGAAGCATTAAAACTATAATATATTGTACTCAACTAAACAATAATTTCTTATACTTATAATAAGCATATCGTATATATACTGTATATGTATATAAAGTTATATATTATTTGTAAAAATATATACTATATATCGATATATACAGTACATGTGATACAAATGATAATAATAAAAAAGTACAAATACAGTATAAAATAAACAAATATAAATATTTGATTAATTAATTTTTTAGTTTAATTTAACTACTATTTAGTCAACATGGCATGCAATTAATTTTTTACTAATAAAATAATTTCATTATTTAAATTTTAATTAATTTGAGTAAATAAATAATTATATATGATACTTTTTCTATTTATACTAATAACAGAAAATAAATAAAAATAAATGTATTATTAGTTGTAAAATTGGATCAACACATTTGTTAAATATATAATTTTATTTATCAAGTATAAAAAGTTTTAGTACGTAAATTGTTTGTTGAATTGTTTATTAAAAAGAAAATATTAGCAAAAAAATTTAAATTTAATTTATAAGTTATATCTTATAAAATATCCAATAAGATTAGAAAATGTTTGACGTAAGTTATATATTTTGTGAACATATATAGTATATGTTTTATTATATTGTACAATAATATAGTATAAATAATAATAATAATAATAATTAATATCTCAAATATAAAAGGTTAATCTTATTTTAAGTGTTTAATACATTTTATACTATTAAAGTACAGTATTAACAGAACTGTATTAATATATTTGTTAAAAATATATGAAAAACATATTTAATATGGCTTCGGTAAGCATATTTTTATCAAAAAATTAAATTTATTAGTAAATTTTAAATAGTTTAATTAATTTAAAAGCATAAATAAAATCATTTAAAATATTAATTTATAAATAGAGATTTAGAAGAATTTTCAAATTTCTTTCAATATTTTTAGATTAATAGAAATCTTTTGTATAATATCTATATCTAAATCTTTTAATCAATATATTTTATAAAATAATTTTTCAATATTAATGAAAAAAATATTATTTATATATTTAAAAATCAAATACTAAAAATCAATTATTATTTTTATCTATTTATTATTATTTATGATATATTTTATTAATAAAAATTACCAAACATTTATGTTTTTTAAGTAAGTTATTTTTAAATTTTTAATATAATTTAAGATTAAAAATATTAAATACAAACTATATGTTATAAATCAATTCATTAAAATATATTAAAATATATTAAAATATATTAAAATATTTTACAATTAAGAAAAAGCGAGAGTTAGTCAATCAGTGTGATAGTGAGTGAGTGAGAGAGAGAGAGAGAGAGAGAGAGAGAGAGAGAGAGAGAGAGAGAGAGAGAGAGAGAAACTAAAATATATACTTAATATCTATCATACTTTTGTATGATAAACAATACAATCATTTTAAGTTGAAATATGTTTAGTCAATCTATAAACCATTAATTTAAATACTAGTGAAAAAATAAATATTTTAATAAAAATTTATTCCACTTATTATTAAAATACATTAAGTATATAAAATGTTACTTTAATATATTTTTGAAGATAATTTGACTAAAATAAGTAAAACGTATTATTAATTTTATAAAATATTTTTTATTAGAAATAAAAATCCTTTCTACAAATCAAAATAATTCTATAACTATAAGAAAATATATATTAGAATATTTTATTATAGTCTAAAAACTAATAAAATATTGTAAAAGTAAAATATTTTGAGTTTTATTATTGAATTTGAATTATTATTAAATTTGAATCAACCATAACTCAAATTATTTTCTCATATATATATTTGTTAGTAAATATTTAATTTAACTTCGAATAAATTTTTTTCTTATAAAATCAATTGAATAATTTGACATTTTTAAATATAATATATTCATATTATTTCAATTTGCAATTTACACTATTTTATTTAATAAAATAAAAATAAAAAATGAGTTAAAATTATTTTACAAATATATTAATTTCAATTAGTCTATATTTAGAACATTTGAATCAAATGAAATTTTATAAACGAGTATATAATTAACAAAAGTTAAATATAGTTATGTTTTAATTGATAAAATAACTTAAAAGTAATGTAGTATATAATAATGAATATAATCTCTGTATTGTATTGTATTTACTGTATAATATATTTGTACTGTACATTACCGTTACAATTTCAATGCATTTACATTACTTTATATAATAATTTTATCTATTTATAAAATATTTATAAAATATAATTTCTAAGATCAAATTGATTTAATATATTTAATACAATATATATCATAAATACAGAATTTTAAAAATAAATAAATAAAATTTGATATAGTTTTTATAATTTATACAAAAATGTCAGATATTTTATCAAATGTTTAGTCTAAAAAATATTTCAATAAAAGTTAAATATATTGTATGATAATTGAGAGTATAGTTGAAAATGTTTTGTACAATATTATTGCGATTGAGGTTTAGATGCCTTTCGTTCAAATACTATATGGTAAGTCCACGCCGTATATTATTTTAATAATATTATAATTAGTGATAATGTAAAGTATATTTAATTATAAAAATTATTTATATCCTATATTTTACATAATAAACAAAATTCAAATAAACGTAAAAACTACTTATCCAGCTATAAATCCTGCAAATAGTGCCAATTGTTGGGTCAACCAAAATACAAAATTATGATGTCTTTATATACAGATTGAATATAAATCAAATTATTATCAATACTATTTAAATTTATATATATATATATATATATGATTATTAATAAATTATTACTTAAATACTCTTTCAAATCCTAAATAAATGACAGCATATAATTTTGGTCCTAAATCGCGAGCTTTTTTTTGTAAAATAATAGTAAAAATAATATATTGATATAATTGTTATAAGTTTATATATGAAGTAATATATTATTAATAATTAATAATAGTATTTTTAATACCTGGGTTTAGTGCTGCTCCACAATTGACAACAAATGCCATAATAATACCAATAAAAGCAATTACCAAAAATAGTGGTGCGAGTGGTGGAGGAATGCCTGTCGATTTGTGGTCAGTGATGGCCAGTATTATTACCATAAATATAAAACACGAGAGAAAGCTGTCCCAAACAGTTACAAATAAATTGATTTGATGGTTGGGTGCCAACACAAACAGTGAATCCAACAATTGATTTCGGATAGTCAGGTCATCGCTAATGTGGTTTAAGTGAAATAAATGGACGGCGGCTGACGCACAAAATGCTGACAAATATTGAGTCGGTATGTAATACAACAGCTTTTTGCTATTAATAACATTTAAAATAATTGATTTTTATTTGTAAAAACTAAATGTTTTCAGTAAACAAATGTATCAAAAATTGTTTGATACAAACTATGGAAATTTATTTAATGTGGCTAATGCTACACTGACTCCGGGATTAAAATGACCACCTATGTATGTATGTATGTATGTATAAATATATTTATATATATGTATTTATATATATGTATAAGTGTTATATTACAATCATTAATAATTTATTTTATTTGTTTTATTTGTATCAAATTTATGGCACAGACCTGAAACGTGACCCGCAATTAGTATAGCGGTCAACAAACCACTTCCATAACTGACTGCAATGACAATAATCTCAAGATGATTGCTTTTAATAATAAGAACCGGATCCCCGGCCGCCATACCCGTACCTGTATTACAGATACCCGATGTATTGGCACACATGTTATGTACTAAATAAGCGTTGTGTGGATATATATCAAACAATAAAAACGATGAAAAACCTAAAAACTAGTAAATAATAAATAAAATATAAAATTTGATACTTTAGACTAAAGTTAAAAAATTACATATATTTACCAATAGTATAGTTAAACCACAAAATTCAGCTAAAATTTCACGAATTACTACAGGAATAGTAGGGAATCTCATATTTGTTGTCTTTTAGTTGTAAATTAATATTTAAAAAATATAATTTTAAAAAATATATTATTTTGCACGTAATTCATTCATATTTGTATGATATTACTGATTAACTATTGTTTCAACTTTAAGATTATTTAACATATAATTATATAACTTTATAAACATATGTCACATATAATATACAGTGACTTTGATAGCTAATAGTTAATAAAGTACTTTATGTTGATTTGTATCTATAATCGGGTTTAATTAGAAAAAAAATAAATATAACTAACTTCTATAAGTAAACATTAAAAACATTATAGCATTAAAAAATATAAGCAAAAAAATTGTATTACATGGTTAAGCAAAAAAACGATTTAGTTTCAATTTTAATGATAATAATAGATTTTTCAAAAAAGCTAGGATTGGCCTAAAAAATATAATTAGAAAAGTATTAGATTCCTATTTTATTTGAAATAATCTAGAAATACAGTTTCAATAATAACACCAGTATTTATTAGGGTTGGAAAAATACAAGGTATTGAATTCTGGTTTTGTATAATACAGTAAAGTATGATATAATGTAATGTATGTATTATACATTTATACGTATAAAAAACGTATAATACATTTAAAAAAACTTATTTATATTATGTTAAAAAACATATTTATATTATGTTACAAAATTTATAAAAATTATTTAATGACAATATAATTGTTAGAACTCATTATTTTTATATTAATAATAATTTCTATGAATAAAAATTAATTAAAATAAAAGATAGAAATAAAATAATAAATTAATATCGTATATAAATTTATAATAAAACATCTTTATTTTTGGTTATATCAACGGTTTTGATACTAAGTAGCTTTTGATAGGATACGTTTGTATTGTATTGCAATATTGGTAATGTATTATACATTATTATACAAAAATTTTGTCTCTGCCAACACTAGTAATTATAAGTTTTATCAAAATAATTTTGTTATAACAAAAATTATGACAAAATATTGTAATATTAAACCCATAAGTTTAGTACATATTGTGTACTACTGTACATAACATTAATAAGTACTTTAATTAGTAGTGTTGGCAAAAAAGAGAAATTTATAAAATAATAGAGAAATTTCTATCTATGGGATCCCCATGGTTAATTTTGTTTTTCTCGATATATGTTATCATGTAACAATACATTTTTTACAAGTAATAATTAAATTAACAATTAATTTATTTAAATTCTTATATATATATTTTTAATAAAATGATTATTAAAATTTAACAAAACTGATTATTATTAAATAATTATAATTTGTATAGTAGTGTATAGTATAATGTTATATTAATAGTAGTATGTCTCAATATTAATACTATAGATATGGGGAAATATGGAGAAATTTTCTAGAAACTTTCTCAGAGAAATTTATTAGAAAGTTTCTATTTGCCCATCTCTAACTTTAATAAAGAGTTTCAGTGATAGTTAAAGACTAAGTTATAAAATACTTTTAATATAATTTTAATTATCATTATTTTACTGTAAATATATTTAATCGTATTGTACTGTACTATAATAATATAAGCAATAACATAGTCGACTTAATTTTTAAAATAAATATTTATTAATTAATTATTAAAAATTAAAATATTTGTTTTGTTAAACATATACCAGTATTGACTAAAAATTTCTTTAGATAAAGTTTTTATAAAATAAATGTTAATAAGTTTATAAATAAATATATATTTATGTCATTTTATTCTAATAATAATATTGTTATGACTAAGTTGTTTTAAATAAATTTTAATAGGTTTATAAATAAATATATCATTTTAAATATGTTATTTTAGTCAAATATTATATTATTGTTTTGACTTAATCACTGACTTATGCATAATCCGCGATAATTTATTATTTTTTAAATCGTTGGGAATTTGATATGTATATACTATTATAGTAATTATGTTTACATTTACAATGAAATTAACACCTATTGTTTTCCCCAATATTTTTGAGTGTTTTTTAGAAAACCTCGAAAAACACAAAAAAAAGTGTATATAAATGTGTTTTATATTATCAATATTGTATTATTGAATAACAAAATAATTAAATACATATTTACTACAATATAAATAAATGATACGATATGTGTAAGAATAAAGAGTACTTTAAACAATAATATAATGCAAATATTTTGCTATAAAACATGTATTAATTAAGTTTTTAAATACAGTATAAAACATGTACTGTATTTAAGTACTTAATTAATATATTTTTATTCAACAATTGGTAAAATAAAATATAGTCTAAAATCTTAATTAAATGTATTTTTCAAATAAAATTATGAGTTAAAAGTTGAAAATGAATGTCTTTAGCAAATATAACCAATTTTGTGACAAATAAATTATTGACTATTACTATAAAAAATAAACAAAATCTAATTTCCCGATATATATCACGACTTTGTTATCTTTAGTCCCGATTTTTACCGTCTAAACTCCCGGAGATGCATAGCTCTAGTTATGACATAAATCGTATTTCATAATACAATTGTTATTGTGTTAAACAAAAATGAAATTGTATTATAGAATTATTAGTTATTAATTTATATATACATTATTTAATAAATAAATTTAGGAGTTTTCTGATATTGTTTTCTAGGATTCTCAACTGGCTTAATCTAAAATTTAAATATATTTAACAATAATTAGAATTTTTATTAAAAATATAATAATTATTATTATGTAAAAATATCAGCTTATTAATATATCTGTATATAAATTTAGTTAATATAATTATTGTTGTCTAATATTTAAAATTAAGATAGAATAAATATTTAAAAAATGTTTTCAAAAACTATTTTATTGTTTTAAATTTCATATTATACTTTTGATTTATTACAGACTTACAAGTAAATCAAAATTAATATCCAAAAAAATTATTATATTTATATAAAAATGAAAATAATATTTTAAAATAATAATCTATCATCTTTAAATATATCAAATTGCAGTTTTGTAGTTTATTTTAGTATCAATATTTGTTATAATATTTTTTAATTTTAGCAATAATATATGATTTATTCATTAATGTTATAAATATTTATTAAAATAAATAATAATAATCAATATCACAGCTCAATACCTAAGTATTACAGTATACAGTATACTGTATTTTATTATTTTGTACATTAATTTTATATAGATTTTTAAATATAATAATTATATATATATATATATACTGTATATTATATTTTGGTCTTTATTGTATAATAAGTATTTTATTATATACAGTATATTATAGATATTATTTTTGGCAAGAAATGCATTTAAGAATTAAGAATTATTATATTAAATCAATAAATTAACAATTTATTGATTTAATAATTGCATTTATTTTGACTTAAATATATATTATATAACACATAGACTCTATTATGGACTCCATTATGATCTCATGAAGACATCAATGAGACATCAATTTGACTTTTTTTACAACAACTCTCGAGGGAGTTATCGACACTTATATTCTTATAATATATCTAATAAAGTAATCAAAAATGAATCAACTTTTTTGGTACATTATTGCCTCATAATAACAACATTCATATTATTACACTAGTCGTGAAAAAGACATGTCTATAAAGAAAACAAAAAATATAGCAAAACATTGCCGACATTATACTAGGGATGAGCCGCTAGTTATGAACTTAAAGAAAGTACTGAATAATGTATTTTTTTAGTACAATTAATAGTAGACAACAATCTTTAGGCATTACTCATACATATACTCAATATATTTAATTACATTCGGGTATTGCATACCACAGTCTGGACTCAATCACTAACTCTTTAGTAATAGTGTTAAGATATTATCTGTTATTGTATTTATAAAGATAATGCATTACTTTATTTTAGTCAATTTTATTTATTTATGATAAAATTTAATAAATTTATAAAACTTTTTAAATTATTATAAAAATATATAATGTAAAACAATTTAAATGATATACAACTTATTAGAGTTTTTATAAATAATTTAATAGATTTTAATTGTCAGATAATCATTTTAATTGTTATGCAACGTACAAATCAAACTATTTAATACAGTAATATATGTAGTGTATTAAATATAAAAATTTACATTTATTTGCTAGTTTAAAATATACATATTAATAAAAAAATTAATTATTTTTTAGTTTGTTTATTATTGAGAAAAAAAATCAACAATAAAATCTTAAAACAAATTAATTTTCTAAGGAATGAAAATTTAGTAAATTATTATTATTATAATTATATATTATAACTAAAAATTCTTTGTATATCAATAAAGTAAATCTCTTACTGTTTATATTAATATAAAGAAATTCTGTTAACGATTTATTTTGTTTAATTCACATTAATATTATATATTTTTCTTTTATTATAAGTAAAAACATGAACAATACATGTCTATAATTTATTTAATGTTATACATAAATATTATGTTAGATGTTATAAAAAAAATAAGACCATTCTTTATTAAAACTAAACATAAAAACTTTGAGACACATTATGTGCTTTAATATGAAACTTTTATACAATGAAATTATAAAAATATCTTTTAATAATTTTAACAAATATGTCTGGAATTTATACAAATATAATTTATATTACTAATTATAACTATACAAACATTTATTAAGATATTTTTCTATAAAACAATTTATCAATTATTAATTATGTACTAATTAATAAATATATACAGTAATTAGAAAAATACAGTACCGATAATTACTGTATACATGTATAACAATTTAGTATAAAAATATCATTTAATGTATTATTAAAATTAAAAAGTATTAATGAAAAATATACGTAAATACAGATTATAATAATTATTTAAAAATAAGATTCAATTTATCAATTTTGTGATCAATATTTGACAAACTTGTTATAATAATAAATGATATTTTCTCACTCCGTTTAAATTCAGACAAAATTGTTACCATTTGTGTCAAATATACAGTAATTTCATTTTTATTCTTAAATATAATGTTTAAAGTAACGGTAAGAAAAAATAAAATGAAAATTTAATGTTTAATGATGTTTATTTTGTATTAATAATAATAAATTTTTTAACTTGTTATAAACGCTATAAAATGAACTATATTATTGTTTTATTAGTTTAATATAATAAAATAATGTATTGTAATGATTATAATTTATAAAAACAGATAATTTAGTTTTTTTTGTATTATTGATTCACTTAACTAAAGATTGTCTAAATACAGATTTGTTGTTATTTATTGAAAGAACTATCAAAATAGACATTTATTAAGTAGTATTAATATATTATATTAGTGTTGAAAGTTACAATAATTTATATACGATATATCCTATAATAAGACCTATATACTGTATTTATCACTTTATATATAAATTTTTGTATCAAATATTGAATAGCATATCTTAATTCATCATTTTATTAATTAACATAATACTCTATAAGAATATAAAACTATAATTTTATAATTATGTAAGCTAATTTAAATAAAGCAAACAAATTTGTAATTATTTTTCTCAAAATGTTAAACTAATAATATACCGGTTTGTAGAAATTGCAAGTGTTGTATATAATAATAATAATATTAATTAATATGAAAATTAAAATTATTATTATTATTAATAGTAATAAATTAATTTGTAATACTAGTGAATGCATTGCCATCTATAAGTTAATACACTAAATATAAGCATAAAAATCGATTAAATGTTAAACCAATTGAACACAAGAGTCACTATTACTATAGACTATAGTCTATAGTATAATAAAATTTTGAAACACTGATAATAATTGATAAAAACTTTAATAATAATGAATTATATATATATTAAAATAATTAAGTGCACCTAGCATAATTTATTTTATTTTATTAAACAAATAACTATCATTATTATAAATATTGTTTATTATAGAATTTAAATTTTATTACTTATTTTATTTTTATTCATGTTTTGGAAATTTTCTAATTATTTAACAAAAGGCCATAAAATTTTCTCATTTAATGTAATTTTAAAAAATAGTAATATATAATTATAATAGCGATTAACAAAAATTTAAATTAGAAATTATTTCATTAAAAATAAGTATTTTTAAAAAAGTAAATACATTTTTCATACATATTTCGTGACAAAAGTAATCAACACATTTAAAGCGCACATTTGTTGCAATTGATTAACTTATTAATGAAGTTTATTAACAAAATACATACTAATCATCTATTTTTTATAGTAGTATTTATTTGATTGTAAAGTTATGTCAATCAACATTTTAGACAATTTTGATTATATGTCAACAAAATATATTTGAATTAATCAAAATGAAATCGTTTGTTATAATATTAATATTTGTAATTGGTAAGTTTTACATATTTACAATATAATATAATATAATTTTATTAATAAATTATATTTTTTCAAAACATTTATTGTTTGATTTTATTAAATCTACAGTTCATATAAACCTATGTTTGTCGGCATCGGGTAAAACATGTAATATGACTGTCGATGAGGCGGACAAATGTGCAAAGAAATTGATGTTTATGGGGGACAGGGATAACATTTTACCGGCCGATGATCAGCAAATGCAAACCTATTGCGAGTATTGACATTTTAATATATATAATATATAGTTTATATATAACATTTAATTTATACTAGATAAATATATACATTTTATTTATTTAATTAAAATGAATTGCTAATTTGTACATTTAAATAAATTTTAATTTATATACCATTATTTTAAATCTGTAAAATAACAGTTTATATGTCGAGTTCATCAATCAGTATTAAGTATCTTTAGTTTTAGACAAAAGAGTTACAATAAATGTAAATAAAAGTAATAGTATATAATAGCGACAAATGTTTAAAACATAAGTATCGGAGTAAGTATACAACTAAACCACTGGTCATTCCTATGTCTTATGAAATTTTATATATTAGTAAAACATTTTATATTTGAAATCACATCAAATATTTTGAAAATTTTACGCATTTCTCTGTAAACTCTATTCAATAGCAAATCAATACAATAATTGAATGCTATTTCAGAACAAAGAAATTGCATTTATTTGATTTAAATTTTCTTTACTTGTTTTATCTTATTTTATTTATTTATTTTTCTATATTTACACTTAACCTGTAATCAAGTCATGAAATTTAGTATTATTGAGAAATGTAAAGCATTGAAAAATTCAATATTATTAGTTTAAATGTATTTTAGTAATCAACATCAACTTAGATATGTTTTATTTTTTTACTATTTTGTGTACTTTAAAATTTAAGTATTTTTGATATTTTTAGAAATATATTTAGAAATTGATTTTATGAGAGAAAAAGAGACTGTGATTTTGTGATGAAATACAATATAATAGTAAATAAAAGTGAAAACAAATAACTGTAAAATACATTAATGTATTAATAGATTTTAGTATATTTATTGAAAATAATAGTTAAAATGAATAGATATCGAATAAATGTTAGAATTAAGTTTAGTTAGATATGAATTATGTTTTCTTTACATAATTTCTATTTATATCTATTATTATCATATATACTAATTATTTAATATTTCTTATTTGAAAAAAATATTGAAAAAATATATATTAAAATTATTTTGTTGTCTAATATTGTTAATTATAATCTAATAGTTATATGAAAGATGGTATCCGATGTATCCGTCATTACGCTCGCTCCTGTTTACCCCCTTTTCCTCAACAAGTGTTTGGTATGTTTGCATACGATGCTAAAAATGTATTGAGAAGTCAATGCAAACAACCTAAAGACAGGGCAGGTTTGTCATAATAATAAATGAATTATCGTAAATGTATGAAAACTATACTATTAATAGCAATAATTGTATATTTTATAGATTTTGTCAAACATGTGGCCTGTTTTCTACCGAAGCCAGCGATGGAATCCTTGCATTTGTGTTCTGATAGATATATCGTCCGATTGGATGTCATTAAAGAGTTTGACTCCGATTGGAGAATACCCGGTATTTGTTGCGGTTTTCATATATTTCAAGATTGTATGCGTAATAACTTACAATCACTGTGTGAACCGAAAACCGGTGGCGAAACAGTCGACTATTTCATGAATCACATCAATTCAATGGTTAGTTTTATTTTAAACTATATTCACATTAAAAATAATGATACAATATATTGCAATTTATATTTTATTGAATGAGTATTTATTGTTGAATATACCGGTAATTTTTTTTAAACAAATATATTTCTATCATTATTTTTAATTTTTATTTTTATTAAGCAAATAGATATGAATGTATATACCGTATATTTATTTTATTCAATAATCAAAATTTATTTTAGACTTTATTTTTTTAATTTAAAAAATTTATGTGAAAAATACTTATTTCTATTTTAATAGTATTAATATTATCAGTAAATATTTTTACAATATAATAGCATTTTTAAATATTTACTGCAAATATTATATTTCTAGTTATTTTAGGAAATATTTAATTAAATTATGACATTTTAGTAAAAACATTGATTATCATATAATGTGAAATTAACTGTTTTCAGACATTTCATAAATCAAATTATGCAAAATACTAAACTATTATTTATTACCGTAATATGTATTAGCATATTATAGTACAGTATATACAGTAGTGTTGTATATAAATTATAAATATATATATTTATAATATTTATTAATCATTTGTTGTTTTTTTATTTAATAAATATTTAATAGACTGACGATGTAATGGATTTTACGTGTGGACAGTATGATAGTCTTGAAAAGTGTGAAAAACATATGAAATCCGATGATTGGTCTAAACTGAAAGTCGAACTGAGCGATGAACAGGTGGTCGCCGAGAGGGCCAAACAAAAATACTTTTCTCCCGTTCCCTCTCTCGTCTCTATTATAGCTAACTATGAAATGTAATTGCTTTGCTAAATACATTTTGTTTACTTGAGTTTAATTAAATATATAAATTTTATTGATGTTTTTTATCAAATTGTAATAATTGATTGTTATTATTTTATATTTTGAATAAAATCACATTTTAAAAAATAAATTAATTATAAATATAATATTGTTTTTATTGTTTGATATTACAGTAATTTAGATTTATTTTCTAATACTAATATAATTCTAATATTAAAAATACTTTATTACGTAAACAGTAAACATAAATATTTTTTTAAAGTATCAAATATAAAGTCATTTTTTGTTATTCCATTAAAAATAATCTATTTTACTGTACAGTAAATGCAATTTTATATGACATACTTATATTATAATTTAAATTATTTTTTGTGTGTATTTAAAATAAATATAAAAATAATACTAATGTCTTAGTAAACTTAAAATAAAATATATATTGACTTTAATAATCTGTTTTTAGCAAAAATTACAAACAGAGGTCTATGATCTATCGAAATCTATAATACAAATAAAGTTATATAATTTAGATACAATATAATACAATACTGTATTACTGTATATAGATATATACTTTATAAATATTACAAATTTAAACAGTTAACATTGAAGGTTTCTAAATACTTGAATAAACGATTGTTATCTAATAACATATAAATATAGTAAAAACCCTTGTTATGTAATCAATAGAAATGTATACTTACTTATTATATTCTAACAATTAATTGTTGATATATCATTAAATTATAAAATATAGTATTTATAGTAAGAAAATTTTATACAACTCATCCATTCAATTACCTATTAAGTGAACCCATAAATAGATACTCAATCGTAAGCCATCCGTTATTTCTTATTGAGTGTCTATCATTAGGAGACAAAAAATGCCAATTGTGTACAAAATATTTTTTCAATTGGTATCCAAACATTTTTATTGAAAATATCAATGTCAATCAAATAAACAACAATAAAAGCTGCACTTATTTTATTAGTGAAGTTAAAATACGGTTTAGAAATTTTTTTAAGACTTCAATACTTATATTATAAACAATATTGATTTTCTTATGATTATATAAAAGTCGAGTATTTAACATTGAACTTATACTGTAGTTTAGTATAATAGAGATATAGATCTTATGATAACAAGCATAAGTAAAAATAAAATTTTATTTTTTTATATTTATTATCTTACAATTATTAAACATATTATATAATACTGTATTATAATAAATGAAATAAATAAAAGCATGCGTTGGTTTTATCCATATATAGTATAATGTTTAGCATTACTATTATATATCAATTTGTACATTGTTTGTGCTCTAAATACATAATAGTCATTTATATATAAAGATAAATATTTAATAGTCTACAATTACATAATGTATATACTGTTTATGATTCAATAAATATATTTAACAAAATACTAATGAATATATAGATATAACTGATATATTGGACTATTTATCATTATATATAAAAATAAAACATAAATACTAAGCAAAATAAATGGTTTATTTAGTATAATTGATATAAGATTAGATGAAATAAAATATAAAAATACTTATTTATTGGACAAACTATTTCGACACAAAACAGGTCTCATAAAAGTCGATGAATTGTGATTGTGATTAGTACTGGAGTTTAGTGATCGCCGGTATGACAGACAGTGTTTAACACTCATCGAAGTGTCTTCTGTTTGTGAACTCATTCGCGGTTCATATAAATTGTAGAAACCATTGGTCTCTTTGTCGACAATAGCTCTCATGTAATGATCGTCTCTCAGATTGTGGTCATTGTGACAGAAGAACTCCTTCACTGATTTGACGAGATTTTTGTTGAAAAACAAACAAATGTATGGATTTAATGAACTGTTTAGCGACGATAATAACATTAATATTGTTATTATTGAATCTAAAAATAAAATTAGAATTATTATTATTAATATTAATATGAAATTGTTGGCTAAAATATAATTTTTTAAAAACAAATTTATATTATTTTACAATTTTATTTTAAAATTTAATATTAAAAAAATATGATACCTGCCTTAAATAATTTGTAGTAAAATTGTAAATTAATTTTTTATATAGGATATAATTAGAGTATTATGTTTATATATTTATTTTATTATACTGAAGTATTTTAATATTTTAATATTTAAATAACATTGATTCTTATTTGCGAAATTGATATTTATGTTTATATGTTTACTTCACAATAATGACCCTGTTCAAATAGTTATACAGTACTACAATGTTTTTAAATTTACTATTAATAGTTATTTGATATAAACTTTGTAATTATAGTACACACAAGTAATGTGATTGTATTTATGCTCAAAAATAAAATAAAAAGTGTGTCAAAATGAAATCAAATATTGTTGTTTATTTAAATTAATTATTTACAAAATACGTTTTATTATAAGATAGATATTAGTTTATAGTACAGTAATTTACACGCAATGTATTTCAATTATTTAACGTTAATTAAGGTTAAATCGTAAACTATTAAAAATTAATTTTTTCTTAATACAGCATTTTAATGTAAATATTATAGTAAAAACACTATATATTCATATATTAATTAATTTACTGCTATAATAAATTTAATGAAAACATTAGTACAGTATAAAAAATGCATTTATTGTAATATTAATTTTATAAATTAGTCTAAAAACATTAATAGAAATTTGATTGGCTTTAATTCTATAATAATAAATTAATTATATATTTTATAATTTAACTATAAAGTTAGCAATAATGATAAAATATTATAAGTATAAAATTATTTATTTTTTAAAGTTTAAATAGATATAATAATCTTTACGATGAATTAAATAGCTATAATTACTAAATTATATTGTTAATGTAATTTTAAACAGATGAACATTTTTAAATAGATTAGTAAATTTTTTATATTAATAATTTTGATAAAAATAATATATCATATATTATACTTATCTTATATTAAAAAGATTTTAAGATTATTTATATCTCTATAGTCTATTATAGTAATTTTATACACATATACTGTGTTATATTTTATGTAAAAATACATATTTATTAATATTAAGTATTAGAATTTAAATAATAAAATTTAAATTATTTGTTATAACTTAAAAAAAGTATTTACAAATATTTATATCGGTATATATAAACTAATAATTAAATAATAAACAAAATTACAATTTCAAAAAAAAAATTTCGCCTATAATTTTAATGTGAAAGTTATTATGAGGAAATTATGCATACTTTCAACTTTAGTAAGTTGTGTATTAATATAACAAATTAACTTTTATATAAATTATTAATACATTAATTTACAAAAGTATAATTTGTTTTGAATATACACTATTATCTATATTATAATTTTGTTTATTAATGCATCTATTATTGTATTATATTTGGTGGGCCCCTCCTGGATGTACTGCAATTCCAGGCCAACCCATAGCAAAGCAGGAGCACAGCCCCTTGACTTCGCTGTCCCGCAAAAATTAGTTTAATATCTTGACCCCCAATGGGAGTCGTATCAGATATTAAGCTGATAAGAACAGATACTACACTTTGATCTTAGCCAAAAGGCCGAGAAGCGATAACATACCACTCCTTAACACTACTGTCCCTTAAAAATTCATATAATTTGAATTACAGCCTATATTAAATTATACTTAATAATTACCTAGTTAGTTTTAATTGTTTGGCAAAAATAATAAATTTATTTAATATATTCCAATATTAGTGTCACTAATTTATATACAAATTTTGTATAAATTGTATTATATTAAAACAATTGAGTTAATAAACATTTTCAGACAAAAACACTGTTTATTATTATTGATTTTTAAATAGCTATTTACGTGTTTTCTCTTTAATAGTATAATATATATATATATTATATATCATAATTGTAATGTATTTTAGACTATGACTATATATACAGTACTATAGTATTTATATAAATTTATATAGATTACAATTATGCCATATATTATATTAATACAATATATGACATTGATTTTGCTTAATATTTATAAGGTATTCAACAAAATCCTTGATAATGAATAAAATATAATTTTTTAAAATATACATCTATTTTATAATTTATTAATATTTAAAATAGAAATTATATAAAAATTAATAAATAAGTAAAATTTTTGTTTGTTTGTTAAAAATTAATTAAAAATACTATTTAATTTATTAAAAACAACAAAATTACTATAAAATACTTAATAAAAATATAATTTGTTTTGTTTTGCATGAATTTGTTAATTTAATAAACAAATTTATTATTTAATACACTGAACAGCCAAAGATTTAATTAAAATTATTAAAAACAATTAAAAATATTTTTTATTTATTAAGATACTCTTAGAGTACATTACTAACACACAGTAGTTATTATTAAAAATTAAATAAATAAATAATACTTGACATTAAATAAAGTATTTATATTAAAGTTATAGTAATTAACATATTTTTATTATAAATAATTTCTGAGATAACTTACTTGATTCTGATGTAATGTAAGCCGATTGAGGAAACCAATGGACCCATAGTTGAACACAAATAAAAGGTAGCGAACAGAGGACATAGAAAAGCATTATAACTATTGTTATTTTAACGGTCTTTATCTTAGCTCTGGACACATATCTCAATGAATGACTTCGAGGAGTGGTATTGTTGTTGTTGTTGTTGACGCCATTAGTGGTCACCAGTGATATGTTTGGCAATGAGTTGCGACACTTACGGACTTCGGTGTGTCTCTTGGTTTGTCCACGAATTTGTTTCATTGAATTTGTTGTGCTTTTCTTGACTATAACGGGAGCGTCGATAGCATTATCATTATTACTATTGTTGTTATCAACGATACAATAATTGATATTTTTGCCATCACTTTGTAGATTAAGTCTAATAGATTTTTGGTTTTCTTTAATACTTTCTTTTTTTCGATGAAAATTATTGAATATTTTTCTACAAATGCATATATGTGTGACCAAAATGATTAGAAATGGTATAAAAAATACAGTCACCGCATACCAGGTGACATATATACGCTCCCAGTGTTCGGTAAATGTTGCCCAACAATCGTATACTAGAAGTGTAGGCGATATGCGCTGATAGGAAAATATGTAGATTTGTGGGCAACACATAATAAGAGACAGTATCCATGCCATCAAAATCATCAATTGTGACCTCTGCTGAGTCCACGAACAGTTCATCAATGGATGACATATTGCCTGATATCTGTCAATAGCAGTGATTACCAATATATATGACGACAGATATGGACCGAGAATTTGAAGATATTTGATTATTTTGCACAAAATGTTTCCTCCATAGAATCGATAGGTGATGTCCCATATAAGTTGAGGAAACACATTAAAGAAACCACACATTAGGTCACCGATGCACAGGTGCTGCAGATAGTAATACATGCGATTCATTTTAGGCTTTCTCACCAATAGTGCCATCAATACAAATGAGTTGCCAAATAGTATGCTAATAAACATTACAGACAGTATCGATATCTCGATAATGGCTAATATTTCATCTCTTGTATCAAACAACTCAGTCGACTGATTATTAAAATTGATATCTTTTGGCAACAAATTATTAAAATGAAAACTAAAATTTTGGTCGACTTTTAAAGATCTTTCCATAACTATATCGATTGGACAGTAACTTCAACTTTGTATTGTCTATTGTATAACTTTATTACTAATTAGTAAACCATTAATATTACACTTTGAACTTTTGAAATACTTTGTAAATTGTATAACAATTATTGCAAGAGTTCTCCCATTGCTGTCACTAAAGGAACGGTATCTCAAATTCATAGAGAGCTCATAGAGTGGAGTATAAAAATATCATATGATGCACATGGCTTTAGACGTATAGCACATACACTCTCTATGAGTTACTATATTTTTATACGACATCTCAGACGTATGTGTCGTATATGTCGTATATATGCAAACATTTTGCTTTTATTTAACCGACTCAGACATCATTTGATTGTCAATTAATAGATATATATTTTCTATCGACATTTGTTTAACTATTGATTGCATGTTTGGGACTTATGATTGAGTTCACCAAATGATTACTTCATTACTTGTTATCAGTCGATGACAAAAAAAACACTGAAGAAAATAACATAGAAATGATAAGAGAAATAAAAATAATGAAATTTATTTCTCTATAATAAATATTATGTGTGGGCATACATATAGTCAGTCATGTTAATGATTATGACCAGTTGTCATCAAATTAAATAATCATAAAGTTATTGTATTCGTAAATTAAAATAATAATTATAATATAACTGATTTTATAAGTAATTAACTTATTTTTATTTATAATATAAAGCTTTATGTATTTTAAAATATTCAATTAAATTAATTATTAAATATATTGATATATATATATTCCAAAATTACAATTTAATTAATTATACAATTTATTGTTTAAAAATATTTTATCTAGTATTTTATTGATAATTTTAGATCATAAATTATCATATCTATAATTTACATTTTAATTTAATTATTATTTAACTATTAAGTTAATTTTTATAATTATGTTTTTATTTGATACACTGTTTAACAGTCTATAATATCGTCTCTTATAAAAACATTATTTCTATGTTTGCTATTAATTTATTTTCAATACATTTAATAATAACATATTCCTATAAGAATAACGTCATAATTAGAGCAAAATTTATGTTTCAAATTTCTATTGAAGTAAACAAACAAAATTATTTATAATAAATATGAAACTTATATTGATTACAATTTTTTCAATTTAGCAATTGCATCTTATTATTATAAAGTATTATTTTACAGTTTGTTAATTTTTGCATATAATTTATATTAATATATACATTACCAGGGTTAAGTAAGGGGGTAGGGGGTAAGGCCAAATATATATATATATATTTATAAATATATTACAAAAACATATTGATTTGAATTGTTAAAACTATATAACATATATAAATAATTTATATGAATTGACATCATATGATAGCTTTACTGTATTGAGGAATTTAAAACATCAATTATTTTTTGGACTCTAGTATCAAGTATTACATAATCTAATATTTTTTAAATAAATTGTTAAGAAATCTATCAGAAATTTGAGATAAAAATTTATGTTAAATATCTTTGAGTAAATTTTTCAGAAACTTTAAATTTATGTTGTTTTATTTTTAAAAAAATATTCTGTATTATTATATTATAAAATCATTAAATCATCTGACTTTATATTTTTAAATTAAAAAGTTAAGTGCAAAAAACTATAGTCGGACTGTAAAACTAATTATTAGCATTATATTAGTCAAGTAAAGCACAATCTATGAAAGCATTTAATCGTTAATTTTAATAGTTTAGGATTAATGTCATCAAAATAAGTATATATACATTGAATCTAGTAATTGAAAACTCTGTATTTGACATACAGTTTGTTTTTAGGCATTTAATAAAATTTAAAATTGATTTATTTTAAAAATGTCAATTAACACTGTTTTATTTTTGAGTACATATAATATGACATTTTAAATAAGACTAATATTTGAGTTATTAGTGACTTTTATAAAAGTATATCATTTATAATATTATAAAATTAAAAATAATTAATAAATAGTTAATTTACATTAAAATATAAAGTATTTATTCTGTACAATACATAATGGATTTATGTATAATAATAATAATATTCATAAACAACCATTAATTTAACATTAAATTATTTTTATCTGTTATATTCTGTCGTTTAATGTAATGTTTGTCAAAATAAAATTTATCATAATATTTATTGACGATAACTGAAATATATCATTAAAATTACATTTAAGCAATGATCTTGATTTTCATAGTGATTTCTAGAGTATATAAACACAATATCTTGTAGTTTTAATCAACTTATTATATTTATTTAAAAAATTAATATTATTTTGAACCAAAATTAATAATATTTTTATATATTTATATACTTTATATATATATATATATATATATATATATATATATATATTCAAAATAAACATTATATTCAATTTATTAACTTCTAAAACTAAAAATCTAAACCTTTACAAAAACTTAATTTGCATAAAATATTTGAAATTATTAAGTATTGAATTACCATTTTAATAATATTTCCAAATATTTCATGTCATTATACTGTATTCACATTAACATTATAAAGAAAAGCATTTACTCTTAAATTATTTGTCAAAAAATAAGTTAATAATAATGTCATATCATATTTGTTATGACATTGATCTCAAATTTTTAAATTAAATCACTCTTCTTTTATTCACTCACTCACTCATTCACTCACTCACTCACTCACTCATTCACTCACTCACTCACTCACTCACTCACTCACTCACTCACTCACTCACTCACTCACTCACTCACTCACTCACTCACTCACTCACTCACTCACTCACTCACTCACTCACTCACTCACTCACTCACTCACTCACTCACTCACTCACTCACTCACTCACTCACTCACTCACTCACTCACTCACTCACTCACTCACTCACTCACTCACTCACTCACTCACTCACTCACTCACTCACTCACTCACTCACTCACTCACTCACTCACTCACTCACTCACTCACTCACTCACTCTCTCTCTCTCTCTCTCTCTCTCTCACTCACTCACTCACTCACTCACTCACTCACTCACTCACTCACTCACTCACTCACTCACTCACTCACTCACTCACTCACTCACTCACTCACTCACTCACTCACTCACTCACTCACTCACTCACTCACTCACTCACTCACTCACTCACTCACTCACTCACTCACTCACTCACTCACTCACTCACTCACTCACTCACTCACTCACTCACTCACTCACTCACTCACTCACTCACTCACTCACTCACTCACTCACTCACTCACTCACTCACTCACTCACTCACTCACTCACTCACTCACTCACTCACTCACTCACTCACTCACTCACTCACTCACTCACTCACTCACTCACTCACACATTTGTGTGTTTAAAACACATTATTTTGTATTTAAAACTAATTACTTTTTCATAATAATTATAATTGTTTGACAATATATTATATTAAAAGATAATTAGTTTAAATAATAAATATTAAATGTATGACATTTAATAAAATTACAATACAGTCATTGACATAATATATAAATTTTTAATATAATAATAGATATGTTGACTACAAATATTTTTTCATTTATATTTTAATTTAAAATACATTTGTTGTATAAGAAATGCAATAGTCTGTGTTAAATGCAGTCTTTATAAACAATAAACAATATATAATATATGCTAAATAATTATTTTAAAATTTAAACCTTCTTTAAGATCAAATTTATAACTTAATTAATTCAGATAATTATAAAATATTTTATTTTTTATTATATAATATATATTTTTGTTTTTTTTTTAATTTTCTATTTAATGTAATTTATAAAAAATTATTCAAACATTAAACTGTTTTATTTAGTAATGCATTTATTAAACTTAGAATATGAATTAGAGTTTTTAATTTTACGATTGTTTACAATAAATAGCAAAATATTTGATGAAATTTGTTTGTTATTAAATTAGATTAAACATACATATTATGGTTTTAATTCAGTTAATATTTTTAGTTTTAATTTTTGGTATATAATTCATTGAAATAATATTTTATTACAATAATTGTAATTTGTTGACAAATGTTTATTGTATATATTAGTGTAAATTATAAAATCATTACTTTTGAATTAACTAAGCAATAATTTTATTAACAAATAATTATAAAAATTCATAAATACAATACTTTAACAAATATTGCACTTTTTCTATACTTATTTATTTTCAAATACTAATCGACTTATTTATGATCAACCGTTTGACTTATTCCTATAAAAATGATCATAAATTTTATTCAATTGCTATTATACTAAATTGTTTAAAAAATCCTAATTATTAATAAATACCAAGACTTTAAAAAGTAAACTTTTTATGTGTTTTTGCGCCAAAAATAAAGTATTTGCTGTAAAATTTAAATTTATTTTAATAAAGTTTAACTTAAATCAGTAGTAACTTTAATAGTAAACATTAATCAAGTTTTATAGATTATATTACTTTTATTAATAGTATTATATAATAATTATTAAAAATATTTTTTAATTTATTAATTATTTCAAATAATATGTAATAATCACTGAAAGAGCGTTTGACTGCAATGTTTGTAAGTATTGTTAAAACATTAGTACAAAACATGAATACAATTGAAGTGTTAGTCGCCATCTGTTTGGACACAATGTCAACAAAAATACAAACAAATTCAATGAATGTTTGGTTCAATTGTTTTCTATTTAGTGACAAATCGTGTGCTTTTAGGTCACAATTGGCGCCACAATTGACACCAAATCTATACAAACGTTGGCCACTATTGCGACCGTAAAGACAATACGCGAAGACATTACACGACACGTGCGACCATTCGGTGATTATCGAGACTCGCAATCAAACACTTGACTCAATATATTATCGACAAAACATTGTTGTTGTCATCAATTTCAGTGACCAATTCGGGTGAAATTTTTTTAAAAAGAAGGACACAAACCCGTCAGCGATGGCCAGAAAAGACCGCAAAAAAAAGAAAGAAGAAGAGGAGTACGATGTGGAGGACATTGTGGCCAAACGTATCAACGGAGGTGTCATCGAGTATTTGGTCAAATGGTATAACTATCCGTCCGAACAAAACACTTGGGAACCGATCGACAATCTCGAAGGCAGTCAAGAGATAATCAATGAATATGAAGTCAAACATAGTGGAGAATCAGTGCCCGAAGTGGACGCCATTGAACCGGGAAACGGCTTTAACCAGAAATGGGTGCCAATTAAAGTGTTTGGCGCTACTAAAAGGCCAGTCGATGGCCGACTAATGGTTATGATTAGGTGGAAGGGAAACAAGTCGTCCTTCGAGTTCGCAGAAGAGGCCAACACACGAATCCCACAACTCGTGATCGCATATTATGAGCAACGGATCCGATGGAAGACTGGCAACAGAAAACTCGAGCGCAACATCTGCTACACTAATACTGATGAAGACATCCATCAGTTAGTGACCAACGGAGACGTCATCTAATTGTTAGACAATATTACCGCTCCGTTTGTTTGTGTGATTTTGACTATATTTTTAGTATTTTTTGCATTTATTTTTTTTAAAACAGTCATTCATTACGTTATTAATCTTATTTTTGTAACAATTTTTTGTCAAATTTATAAAAATCAATTTCCAATACATTTGTTGTAAATTAAACTAAATTATATAATAATCAAATTATTAATATCAATGTATTAAATATTTAAATACAGCCACACTTTCAAAGTGGTCTCAAAATCATAACAACAGTTGATAGCATAAAAAATAAATGTTTAAAATTAGTATCATTTTGATGTCTAAATCAAAGTGATTAAAAAATGTTAATTAATGTTAATTTTGTTTATTCATAAAAATGTGTAAAACATTATTTGTTATTTTTTATAATTATTTATTGTATATTTATAATTTACAGTACGTGTATTATTACAAAAACATTTCATTAATTATAAAGAAAACATTATAATAAATAAATTGTTATCATTTAATTTTAGAAATCAATTATTAAAATATGACTATTAGTATATTTTTAATAAATAAATAATATATATTCAATTATATTATTTTTTGAATATTTATTTAATATATAAAATAACTTATGAAAAGTCAGTTTAATTTAAATTTTCATTTTATATAAGAAAAGAATTTGGTATTTATTATTGATTTAATAAAGAATTTGAAGTAATGTATAAAAATTTAATGAATATTCTTGTATTCAAATCATAAAATACTAGTGAAAAGTGAATCAATTGGTGGCAAAAATATTTTGTTTATATATCACTTGATTGTCATATTCTGTACTTTTTCTTTATACAGTATATATCAAACTCACACAAAACCAGTTGAAGTACTGGTGTTTATTCAGAATTCAATACCACATACTGAGAGAATGTATGTTTGAGTATATGGATGAGCCTAAAGAAACAAATATAGCTTAACATACCATAACATACCAGTGCTTAGCTTTACAACAGTATATTCAATGCTTATTCATGATATAATCTACATTTAACTTTTAGTGAAAATATTTTATTTTTATTTAATTATATAATACAATTCAAAGATAGCATAGTTTTATATGACTTATTTTATTTGAATACAATATATTTACATTTATGCATTCAACACATTAAGATTTAAAAATGATAATTATACTAATAATATTATAAATGACTTGATCACATATTAACATTAAAGTTATATATATAATTAAGATTATATTTATAAAATTATAAATACAAATGTATTTAATATACTATAAAAAATAATTTTAAAGTTATTTTGGCACAAAATAATATTTTATATATTAATATTTTAAGTTAAAATATTATTAGTTGTATAAGACTAGTATAAGATTATTAAATAATGTAAAACACATTTAAAATAAAAGAAAAATAAAACATTCATAAATAAAGTTATAAATCAAAATACAGTATAAATATATTTATTATTATATTAATATTTGTGAAACATTTTACCAAAAAATATTTTTTATCATTGAAGTTATTTACACAATATAATATGATTAGATGATATTAGATAAAAACAAATAATTTTTATAATGTTTAAATAAAATTAGATTTTAGATTTTTAAAGTTTTTGTTTACTATATATCTTTTGAAAATAAATTGATAGACAGTATATTTATTACATTATATACTATACTAAGAAAAATCTATGTAAAGTGAAAACGACTTTGTTTTTGATTACAAATATCTGGTAAATTGTGTATATAATTAAAATATGACAATTGATAAAGTTATAATTTTACAATAGATTAAACTAAATAACATTTTTATATTACATTTTTAATATTATTCTATAGATATCATACTATAATTGTCGTCGGATTACATATATTTAAATATTATATACTGTCGATCCCATTAAATCGTTTTAAATTTTAAAAAGTAATCAATTATTTTTTATTATGCTTCATATTATCAATAACATGTAATATTTGGTCATTTATAAATTCAATGTATTGTTGACCAGATAAGAGCAATAAAAGCAGAACCACTATAATAGACATACAATATACAACTGTATTATACATTATAATGTAATCTATTTAATTGATATTTATGATTAATATTTATAGTATGAAATCTTATAAATTATATGCATTTCTATATATACAGCTAAATTATTAATTTTCATCATCTATTAGTCTGGAATATAGTTGTTTAATTAATATTTCTTTTTTTTGTATAAAAATATTCAATCAAAATTTTAATCCAATGTATTCAACGATAGCTTAAATATAATATCCTATTTCAAACTAATAACTATACAGAATATTTTGAGTTTTAAAAATTTTAGGAATTTTTATATTGTTTTCGAACTAATATATATATATATACAGTATAAATAAAGCATTAGATATACAATTACTTAGGAAGTCTAATAATCAATAATATCGACAATAAAAATAATAGCTAACTGGGTTTAAATTTAAAAAAAACTATATCCTTAAATCTTAACAATAAAATAAAGATATTCAATAAATTTCATTAAAATAATGGAAAAATTGTGTACAAAAATAAAAGTTAAGTAAAGAATAGTCCATTTGTTTGACAATCGTGTCTATCCTAAGACTATCATCAATCCTATGCCTCAAACAGACAAATCATTAAAATTTAAAATTTTTATATTCCTATAACTTTCCACAATTTAAATCTTTCAAATCATTCACAGAGTTGTCAACTCTAACCCATTGTTATACAACAATAATACTGTATATAAATCTTCAAATAAAACTCATTTAACATAAAAGTTGTATCAATTGTCGGTCTTTTTTTAGTTATTTTGTAATGCAAATGGTCTGCATTTCAATGATTGCCGACGAGACGGGTGTGTTATGAAAAGTCATATTATTATTATTATTATTTCTGTGAATGCCATTAATTTGAGCAACAGTAGGTGATCCCAATTGATGTCGGGACACTCTTTTTGTAGGACTATCAACTAAAGACTGGCAATTGTTTTTATTAATTTTAGGGCTACCCTTACGTCCATTACATGGGGTCATCATATTTGTGGGAACAATCAAACTATTGCTATTTGATGGCTGTCTCTGATAATACGTCAAATCATTGCTCTTTCTTTTGTTGGCCGAAATGTTTGAATTATTAATGAAATCGATGTCTGTCTGTGAACTACATCGCGTGTCCTCTATATTACTCAAGTAGTCATCGATTCTGTCAACATATTTGCTTTTATGACACCTTATGGCGCACAGACAGGTACGGCACGACTCCTTTAATGTTTTCACTAAATTTTTGTTAAAAAATAACACAATCCATGGATTAACACCTATGAAAAATAAGTAAATAATAGGATAAAAAATATTTATTTTTTTATTATTGATTATTCTTTATTTAAATTATTAAAAAAATGTATAAATATTTTATTGATAATATTTTAAAGGCTTTATATATAATGTTAAAAACTTACAACTATTAAGACTAGGCATCAACATAAAAATGGTTATGAGTGGACCTAAAAATTGATAAATAATCGATTATTTTTTAAATATAGTTTAATATTTCATTAAATTGAGATTTAAAATGAAAATATTCAGGAAATAAATATAAAAGGAAAAACAGAATATAATAGTTAAAAAATAGTCAATTCTTTCCATATATTAATAGAAGATCAACTCAACGATCAATAATTGTATAAATATTAATGTATTGCATTCCTATCAATATTTCAATTCAGGTTTTACTTCTATTTAATAGTATAGACAACACACACACACATATATATATATATATATATATATATATATATATATATATATATATATATATATATATAGAGAGAGAGAGAGAGAGAGAGAGAGACTTATGATTGGCTATTATATGATAAAAATAACAAAACTAATAATAAGTAATAACAATAATAAACAAAACACTTATAAAACATGATTTTAATATAAAGCTTAAATAGATTACCAAAAAATGTATACAGGTAGTAATGTATAATATATGTATAACAATCTATAGACTTAATAATTGTTTATTAATTAGAGAATATAAATATATTATTATTGCAATGATCAGTAATTAGTAGTTTTTAGTTAAATGATATCATATTTTTAAAAATTCTAAATTTAATACATATAGTGTAACAGTTAAAGTTTAAAGTCGTACAATAAAGCAATGTTATCCAAACCTAGAATCGAAATCACAATTTTATATTTGAGAGAACGACTTTTTAATTGACTCAATTAATGCCATATATCCACTAATATAACTAAAAATATTATAAATTTAAAGAATAACAAATTAAATTACTGTAAAATAAAATATTCATTACATTAACTAAATAGTTAATTTTGTTTTAGTTTCACAAAAAAATACATTTATTTTAAGATTAACAAACAAATATTGATTGTTTACATAACACATTAAATTAGAAATTATATAAAATAGGTAATTTTTATGTTTAATTTGTTATAAATCAATGGTAAAGCAAGGTTTTTTGGATCTTATGGGGAGTCTAGGGGGGAGTAAACTTACAAAAATCTTGGATGTATATGGTGGGATGTATACTTTTATTTCAATGTTATATTTAGATTAATTTTAACGTGATTTTAACTATTTTACTTATTTTTAATCAATAATTATATTCATATAAGTTATAAAAACATAACATTTAATAAAATATTAAAATTAAAACCGAATGCGCCGAAATTTTAGGGGATGGGATGGAGTCATTTAATTTCATTATTAAGCCATAATTTTTATCTATTCGGTCAAAAAAAGTTTGGATTAAATCCAAAAATCACGATCTTAGGGGTCATTTGGCTTGACTCTCTACCCCTTACTTAACCCTGATATATATATATATATATATATATATATATATATATATATATATATATATATATATATATATATATATATATATATATATATACCGTATAATGACATAATTTATATTGTGATTTATTTAATTAAATTGATGTTTACAAAAATTGAGTCAAACTTTGTATATAAATAAAAATTCTTTATTTTAATTTAATAAATATTAAAATATATATATAAATATATATATGTCTCTATTAACGTTTGCCTGAGGGACACATTTATTATATTTTGCTTCATCAGATAAAATCGAAATATTCTAATTATATGAACCAATTAACAAGGTAAAAACAAGAAAAAAAATTATAATTAATTAACTATAAATAAAATAAATTTATTTATTTAAATTAAAACGATTTATATGTGTGTAGTCAAACATTATGTTACATTTATTATTTTTTGTTAATGCAATAATATTAATGCAGAAATTATTAATAATACAATATATGGATTATATATAATTCGTGTTTCAAATAAATAAATATTATATATTATTGTCAGAATAAAATTACTTATTTTTAACATAAAATATTTTGCAAATAAAAATTTATTTTTAACACTATATACTAAACAAATAAATTGTTTTGATATTTTATGTATCACACGATGTAGTTATTTGTTGATTATATACAAAATAATTGTATTTTGTTTTATAGAGTTTTATGATTCTTATGAAACTAACAGTTAAAAAGTTTAAAACTATTGTATATACGGTATATAATATATATACAGTATATATATACTAAAGAAACATTAGTTTTATATAAATTAATTCCTCATAAATAACATTTTTAACACTATTTTGTTAACAAGAAATCCATTAAAACAACAGTCAAGTAACTGATGAGTGAATAAACTTAACTCAAATGGTTTTGATAATAAGTATACTTTATTTTTTATATTGTATTATTATATCTATTACTATACTTAAATTACATTTAGCAAACTAAATGTTTATCATTAATCATTTACACGATTATTATATGGCTTCAAAATTTACGTCAAATGTTTCATAATATTATCAAAAAAATTTTTTTATAAACTAGTATTTATTTTTAATTAAAAAAATTGATTTTTTATAGAATACTATTTACCAATTAATCAATATTGTATTACTATTCAGACAAACAAATATAAATTGATTAATATTTTAAACGCCATGTTTAATCATGTGAAATAAAAGAAATGTATGTTTATTGATTAAAATGTCTTGAATCATATACCAGTTTTTTTTTTGAAAAATTATTTATATAAGATTGGCAATGAAAAATTGATATTATATATAATATGGTAATATTATATAGAAATATTATAGTATTTCTAGCAATAATCCAATTGTCATTGAGATTTAGGAGCAATTCAAATGTTATCAAATTGATTATTCACTCAAATAATGCGATATTAAACAAATCGTATCATTGCTTTTGGCATAACTATTCAGTTGTCAACTATATATGACAATTGAGTGGACAAACAACAAGAGAGTCGATCGAAAATATCAAACATTATATATATATATATATAAAGAATAGATTAAATTAAATCATTAGATTTATTAAAAAAAATATTTGACTTATAAAGATTATAGTGAGAAATTATGGGAAATTTAATATAAAAGTAATAAAAACTAAAACAATTTTACTGCTCTATAAAAATTTAGTTTTAAACTTTGATAATCTATCTATTAGTCGCATTTAAAAACTAAACAATTTATAATTTTACTGTTTATATAAATAATAATATTATTTGAATAATGATTGTTTATTTTGATAATGAATTTATTTGCTAAATTGTATTAAAATAATTATTTTATTATATAAATTATGTTGAATTATTTATAAATATAATAGAATATTGATGTTTATATTTTCATTCTTAATAATTTAAAAAAATAAATTATATTAATATTAACATTTTTTATATTGTCAATTGTGAAGTACTTTATTATATTCTGTACTTACTTTAATATTAATAATATTTTATGTAAAGAAAGATGTTATTGCTTTTAAATTTTGTAAAATACATGTATATTTATGATAAAAACAAAATAAAATTTAATATGCATAGAAAATATGTGGGTTTTATATTTGATTCAAAATTTTTAATGATATTTTATTTAAATAAATGTAAAATCTTATGTTATAAAACTGATGATCTCAAAAATGAGTTTAATAACTTAATTTTTTAAAAATAGGCTACGTATTTGAAAAATTAAATATTCAGTATTTTTATATGTTATAAAATTTATATTTATTTTGGAAATAAACTACATATCCCATTTTAAAAATATTAACCAATATATAATATATTGTCATTAATTTTACTATAATTTTTGTTTTAGTAAGTTTATGATTACTCTTACGTTTTAAGTATATACTAATTACCGGTAATTTATATATTAATCAACATTAAATTGATATTAAACATACAATTACATTAAATTTTCATATCATATAATAATTTTAAAAAGTATTTTTTATGAATTTGTTTACATTTGGTTTTGTGACAAATTATTATTATAATTAAAATGTTATGTACATTGTTTATATCAGATATAATTATCACTTATTTTATATTATCATTATAACGGAAAAGGGTTATTACAATATTCAGTAATCGGATGCATCTAATACTCAAATTTAGTCAAATTACCGGTTCTATAGCTACGGAATTTGTAAATAATATTAAAACAATCATATAATTTATGATTAAGTTATACAAACATTTTGATACAACGGTATTATAAAAGTTATTCAATTAAAAACATATTTCTTTATATTAAAATAGAAATTCATTCATTAAAAACTGCAAAACTTAATATTATTTATTCAATCTTATTATTTTAAAAACATATCAATTTTAATTGTTGTTAAAATAGATTTAAACTAAATTTTAAAAATTAGCAAACTTTAAATAAAGTTAAGAATAATATCACATACATGTATATTGATTATTTTTAAGATATAAAATGTAAAAATAATATTTTTTATAAACATATTAATAATAATACTGTAAATATGTACTGACTGTTAATAAATAAAAAAAAAATGATAAAATTTTATCAAATTTTATGCTACATTTACATAAATATTACTCAAGAGACAGTTGGCGTCAATTAATTAAGTCGATGTGTGTGTGTGTGTGTGTGTGTAATCAAATAACACACTTTATATACCAAATGTTTATTTATCTTTGAATTTTACTTAAAATATGTTATTGACTTCAATAATAATATGATATATTATGTTTATACTGTATTTCGATTATAATGTTAACAGTAATGCAATATAGAGTACACATTCATACAGTATTAGACATTTATTTTTGTATTCCTGTTTAACAGAGATCTCTGTGTTCAACAGGAATCTAACAAAAATCGGGATTTTTAGTTCATTTATTAATAATACCATTTAATTGTTATTAATTAGTGATATTTTACACACAAAAAATAAAAACAATTAATTTTGTATCATTAAAAAACAGAAATATGACAACAATTTATAGTAATTGTACCGGAATTGGATTACAGTAGACGTAATATTATAAAAATATTATTATTATTATTATTATTACTGTATCTTAAATATATTATCGATTTTTATGTGGCATTTTAATGCAATCTACTCA